CTGCAGTTCCTACTATCTCTGATACAATATGACCCTTCCTTGCTTTTGCAATACGAAATATTTTGTCACGTAACCGCTGCCTTCGTTCACTATAAGAATGACTTCTTATTTTGTTCCTCCCGCCCCATTCATTTGCACAAATCTATAACATTTTTGGCAGCACATGTGGAAAGAAAGTCGAGTTAAGGTTTCAAGACGAGTAACACTTATCAGAATTGGTAGCAGCTCAAAAAAGCGGTATTTATTCTGAAAACAAGCGAAGGGGTGAACGAATAGATGGAGCTCAGAGGGAGAAAGGAACGCTGATAATGCTTTTCGACCATTCAGCCCATTATCAGTTTCTCTTCCGCCTTACTTTCCCAGCTCCACTTGCACGGCCCGCTACACAGCGGCTGCGCACTCCGCCCACACTGCTACGTCGTTGCCAGCAGCTCCACTCCATTGGCTGTACCTGCCCCAACAACTACCGGTCTAGACCCGCCCCTCTCCATGCCATTGGTCAATGCATTCCTTGCATTGTCTGCGACTTCCACTTCCCACTATCATACCGGCTCTAGCCCGTTGCTCTCTTCCATTGGCTGCGACTGCCATTTCCCTCCATTCCATTGGCCGGACGTGCCGCTCCATCCCGTTGGCCCAGACCCGGTTCCCTCCCCATTGTCCGCAGCTGCATATTTCCCTCAATCCTATTGGCCCCGGCCCATTGTTCCATTCCATTGGATGAAACTGCCATTTCCCTGCAACCCATTGGTCTGACGCATCGCTCCATCCTATTGGCTGAGGTGGCTTCCCAGTCTCTGAGTGGCTCGAGCTTCGGCCCGGTGCGTTCCCATGGCAACAACCGGTCGCCAAGCCCGAGCCCTGGTTCCAACTGGAGGGTGAGAGGGATGGGAGGCCCACGGGGGAGGGGGTGGTGAGGAGGAGGGGACTTGGGAGAGTGGGTGCCTCCGTGGAGGATGAGGAGGTGGAGAGGTTGAGTGCCCCAGTGGGGCGGGGCAAGTGTAGAGGATGGGAATGGGGTGAAGGGTGAGAGTGAGCATCCGGGAGGGAGCAAAACACAGGGTGAGAGTGAAAGGGGTAAATGGAGCATTGACTGAGCTGTGTGTGGGTGGAGAGACTGACAGCCTTGGGGTTGGAGCCACACTTAGGGAGGATGGGGGTCAGTCAAAGGGATCTTTTATCAAGCCACCACCCCTCCTCCCAACCCATCCATACCTCCAACCTTCCCTGACCCTTCCCTTTTCACTTCTCCTCCCCAACACAACCCTTTGTTGCACTCACTGTCAGCACTGAACACGAAATGATGAGGCAATGCATAGTCTGTCGAATAAGTTGATCTCTACTTTTTTACATGTACCTCAATACGCTGTTTTTAGATAACGTCCTCTAATCTTTATCATGCATTGAACGACGTAAATAGGGATGTGGCGATAAAATGAGAATGACACTGGGCTAGTAATCCAGCGGCCCAAGTAAGGGATTAGGACCTGAGTTCAAATCCCATCAAGGTGGTGGAATTTAAATTCCATTACTTGATAAATGTTTGGAATATAAAGCCGGTGACCATGGAAACATTAAGAACATAAGAACTAGGAGCAGGAGTGGGCAGTCCGGCCCTTGGAGCCTGCTCCGCCATTCAATAAGATCATGGCTGATCTTTTCATGGACTCAGATCCACTTACCCGCGTTCTCGCCATATCCCTTAATTCCTTTATTGTTCAAAAAAAATCTACCTTATCTTTAAAAACATTTACTGAAGTAGCGTCAACTACTTCACTGGGCAAGGAATTCCATAGATTAACAACCTTCCGGGTGAAGAAGTTCCTTCTCAATTCAGTCCTAAATCTGCTCCCTCTAATCTTGAGGCTATGCCGTCTTGTCCTAGCTTCACCTGCCAGTGGAAACATCCTCTCTACTTCTATCTTATCTATTCCCTTCATAATTTTATATGTTTCTATAAGATCCCCCCTCAATCTTCTGAATTCCAATGAATATAATCCCAATCTACTCAGTCTCTCCTCATAAGCCAACCCCCTCAACTCCGGAATCAACCTAGTGAACCTCCTTGGCACCCCCTCCAGTGCCAGTACATCCTTTCTCAAGTAAGGAGACCAAAACTGCACATAGTACTCCAGGTGTGGCCTCACCAGCACCTTGTATAGCTGCAACATAACCTCTCTGCTTTTAATCTCAATCCCTTTAGCAATGAAGGACAAAATTCCATTTGCCTTCCTAATTACTTGTTGTACCTGCAGACCTACCTTCTGTGATTCATGCACAAGGACACCCAGGTCCCTCTGCATAGCAGCATGCTGCAATTTTTTACCATTCAAGTAATAATCCTTTTTACTATTACTCCTACCAAAATGTATGACTTCACATTTATTTACATTGTATTCCATCTGCCAGACCTTTGCCCACTCACTCAATGTATCTATGTTCCTCTGCAAAGTTTCACAGTCCTCTGCACACTTTGCTCTGCCACTCATCTTAGTGTCATCTGCAAACTTTGACACCCTACATGTGGTCCCCAACTCCAAATCATCTATATAAATTGTAAATAATTGCGGTCCCAACACCGATCCCTGAGGCACACCACTAGTCACTGACTGCCAGCTAGAATAGCACTCATTTATCCCCACTCTTTGCTTCCTGTTAGTCAACGAATCCTCTATCCATGCGAATACTTTATCCTTAACGCCATGCATCCTTATCTTATGCAGTAGCCTCTTGTGCGGCACCTTGTCGAAGGCCTTTTGGAAATCTAGGTACACCACATCCACTGGGTCCCCATTGTCCACCTTGCTCGAAATGTCTTCATAGAATTCCAAAAGATTTGTCAAGCATGACCTGCCCTTCATGAACCCATGCTGCGTCTGCCCAAGGGACAATTTCTATCAAGATGCCTTGCTATTTCTTCCTTGATAATAGACTCAAGCATCTTCCCCACTACAGAGGTTAAGCTAACCGGTCTATAATTCCCCATCTTTTGTCTACTTCCCTTTTTAAACAGTGGCGTCACATTTGCTGTTTTCCAATCTGCTGGGACTGCCCCAGAGTCCAGCGAATTTTGGAAAATTACCGCCAGTGCACCTGCTATTTCTCCCGCCATCTCTTTTAGTACCCTGGGATGCATTCCATCAGGGCCAGGAGACTGATCAATCCTTAGCTCCATTAGCTTGCCCAACACTACCTCTTCTGTAATAATGATTGTTTCCAGGTCCTCACCTACCTTCGTCTCTTTGTCAATTACTGGCATGTTATTAGTGTCCTCCACTGTGAAGACCAATACAAAATACCTGTTCAATGCCTCGGCCATTTCATCATATCCCATAACTAAATTCCCCTTCTCATCCTCTAAAGGGCCAACGTTTACTTTAGCCACTCTTTTTCATTTTATATAGTTATAGAAACTTTTGCCATCTGTCTTTATATTCTGTGCTAGTTTTTTCTCATGTTCTATCTTACTTTTCTTTATAGCTCTTTTTGTGGCTTTCTGTTGACCTTTAAAGTTTTCCCAATCTTCTAGTTTCATGCTGTTTTTGGCCACTTAGTATGCCTTCTCTTTCAATTTGATAGCCTCCCTTATTTCTTTAGACACCCATGGCAGATTACCCCTTTTTATTGGAATATACTTTTGCTGAGCACTTTGAAAAATTGCTTTGAAAGTCCTTCACTGCTCATCAACTGTCCCACCATAAAATCTTTGTTTCCAGTCTACTTTAGCCAAGTCCTCCCTCATTCTATTGTAGTTCCCCTTGTTCAAGCACAGGACCCTGGTACTGGACGTTATCTTCACACTCCCCATCTGTATTCTAAATTCAACCATAAATTCAACTAAATTCAACATTGCTGACTATCATAAAAACCTATCTGATTCACTCATGTCCCTTAGGAGGAAATCTGCCATCCTTTTTACTTAGCCTAATTTAGCCTCCAGACAATGTAGCTGACCCTTAAGTACCCTGATAATCCACATGGTGCAAGAACAATTAGGAATTGCAGCAATTCCTACATCCAGTGAAAAAATACAAAAAAGACAACTGAAGTAATATATATGGTTCCTTTGAATTAACGTAATACCAAATTCTGTGGTGGCATTAGGAATAAAACCGATGTAGGTTTAGAGAGAGATGACAATTTAATCAGTTGTTTTGGATTAGACTCAAACCTAGGTTGAAGAACTGTATGTTGGGTTAACCCATTGTGCAATAATATCGAATATTTTTGTTGTAAGCACATTCATTATAAATTAGTGTGTACATTTGAGTTCTGTATCTGCTGTTGGTGATATATTTTATTTTTCTGCTTTGTGCTTTACCATAAAAGAGACTGTTGGTATAGTCCCATAGGTGGGTATACATATGGAGCACCCTGTGGTCGAGTTCAAGACACGCAGTCCAGTGCCTGTGCAGATCACAGTACTAAGGGCCAGAAATTTGGTATGTATCTTCACTGTTCCTCCCAGCCATCAGAGCTTGTATAATTGGGACATTTAAAGCTTTCCTACATGTAGCACATGCATAACTTAAACAAAAGGTGACTGCATTTGTGAATTGATTCCGCAAAAGAAAAGCCTTGCATTTACAGCACACCTCTCACAAACACATGGTATTCCAAAGAACATTACAGCTAATGAAGTGCTCCATTGCTGTTATGTAGGAAACACAGCAGCTAATTTGCACACAGGATGCCCCACAAACAGCAATGTGATAATCACCAAACAATTTGTGTAACATTGGTTCCAAATAGTGCTAGGGGATCCTCAAGAGGGCAGATAGAGATTGAATGTTTCATGCAAAACACAGTGATAATGCAATAATCCCTCAATATTGCACAGGAGTGTTAGAGATTCATTTTATACTCATCTCATGGAGTGAGATCTGAGCTTACAAACTTCTGACTCAAAGTTGAAAGTACCATCACAGCTGATGCACACGATTACTTTGCCAAAACCACCCCCTGCATCAACAGCTGTATAGTGAACTCATCTAAGCACTGGTGAAATGTGTGTTAGAGTATCCCAAGAGTTAATTAGTCCATGTCTCCTCCTTATTGCATTTACACAGTGCCAAGGATGAAAACATGGACTCAATGACTGTAAAATAATTGAATATAGTTATAAGATCCTTTGTTTTAGGATACAAAAAATTTATGCTTATACATTTTGATGCTGCAGCATCATCCCTCTTATTTAACTGCTTTGTTAGTTTCCTATTTTGTTAATTACTGATATGGTGCTATGTGTGGTGGCATGATAGTGAAGATCTTTTCCATAGGGTTAGGGGAGTTCAAATCTAGATGGCATAATTTAAACAAAAGCAGAAATTGCTGGAAATTCTCAGCAGGTCTGGCAGCATTTGTGGAGAGAAATCAGAGTTAACATTTCGGTTCCAGTGACCCTTCTTCAGGGCATAATTTTAAGGCGAGAAGAGGAAGATTTACAAGGGTCCTGAGGGGCAACTTTTTCAAACAGAGCGTGGTTCATATGTGGAATGAACTGCCAGAGGAAGTGGTAGTTGCAGTTACAGTTAGAACATTTAAAGGAGATTTGGACAGGTACATGAATAGGAAAGGTTTAGAGGAATATAGGCCAAATGCAGGCAAATGGGAATGGTTTACATTGGGAAACTTGGTCTGTTTCTGTTCTGTATGACGCTATGATGTAGATTAGTGGATAACAAAGTTGGAATACATACGAGTGTACTGAAACCAGCTGTTATAATTCATTTTGCCTCGTGAGAATTGGCACAAGACTTCTCAGTTAACACTTGCACGAAAGCTCTGATTGCAACACGATGTTTAAGTTGTAGCTTGGTGAGTAGGACTCTTGCTTCTGAGTTTCAGTGTCACTGCAGTGTTTGAGCACAAAGTTAGGGGTGACACTGTATCATTGAAGGTGCATTTTGAATTCTTAAATCAAAGCTCCATCTGTCTGCATGGTGGGTTTAAAAATCCCATTGCATTATTTTAAAGAAGAACAAGAGAGTTATTCTTGGTATCCTGAACAATGTTTATTACGGTACAAAAAACCTGGTCATGACCACATTGTTGTTTCTGTGGGCTTAATATGCACATGTTGGCTGCTGTTTATCCCACATAACAATTACACTTCGAAACTACTTAATTGTTTGCAAAGCACTTTGAGATGTTGGTGGTCTTCATGATAAAGGTTTACAATACACTTTTTTCATTTTGGAAATTTGGATTTTAAAGTAGAAGTAAAATTGATTTGTGCTTTCAGTTCTGTAAAGGTAACCTTTTATAAAGAGATCAGAAAGTCATTTGAAACAGTGAAAAAAGCATAATTTCCAAGAAATCATGCAACTCAAGTTAAGTGGTTAGCAAGCTGCCTATGGATTTAATTGATAAAGTGTGTCCTATGCTGAGTTCTATGCATACAGACAGACAAATGGTCGGGGGCCACAAGAAGTTTGAGTTCAGAGGTTTCAGTTCAGAATTGTTTCTTATCAATAGAAGGGCAGGTTAGTTTAATGAGTCTCCAAGCTGTGAAAATTTATGGAGAAGTTTTCAAGTTAGCAAAACTGAAAAGAGGTCATTGGAGTTACAAGGAAGTCTGTAGGCCATCAAACCTAGAAAGAGTCAAGTTAAGATTAGAATGATACTTCACTAGGATTGAATATAGGTTTCGGATATTATTGAGAAAAGGGTTGAATTTTTCTTTTTGCAATTTTCATTAACTTATTTCTAAGTGTCTTGTAACAATGCTGTCACTTTAAGAGGTTATTTTGTCCTGTTTTTTTTGAAGAGAGGTTGAACTGCCCATTGAATACCTCTTGAGTAAACAGCTTGAGAGGCCTCAGGCTTTTTTAACAGCCTTAATGGGTGTGGCCAGCTCTCACAGATCGAGATTTCTGGGTTTTGTTTTTTCAGTAACATCAGAAGCTCTTGAAGTCTCAAAAGAGTTGGAAACTTCGGTGAATGTCTTCTGGCTGCCATACTCACTGAATTTTCTCTTGATGATTTTTCCTCCTGCATGTGAGAATCGTCCTTTTTGCCAAGGGATGTGCTTATGGGATGTTACTATGTTGGAATAGTTAATTAGTAATAGTTACTGTATCTATTATTCTAGTAAGTTTTCCAAGAGAGTTAAGTTATTCTAACTTCCACTTTCTTTGCTTGTATTTTAACAACAGTGTTTAAATAAATTGCGTTTTGCTCAATGTTGAGTAGCTTGACCAGTTGCATCGCATCGGGAACAGATGCTTTATAATTGCCTTTAAAAATAAGAAAAAGTTAGGGTCTAGGTTACCTTCTTAAAATATTTTCAGGGGGCCTGGTCTGATCCGTAACAATCTACATATATCATGTTTTTGAAAATGTATTTCTTTTGTATAATAAAGACAAAGTCACCATGGTCCCAGTAGACCATAGGGCCATACTTGCATTAGAGAGACGATTGGTGGTGAGTTTAACCTGAGGATCACCATGCCTCGGGTGGGGAGTGAGGTTGAGAAAGTCGAATCTTCATGGTAACCTCATCAGATGTGGGAACTGAATCCATGCTGTTGGTGTTATTCTGCATCACAAACCAGTGATCTGACCGACTGAGCTAATAAACTAGTGTCCTTATTCTTGTGTTAAAAGAACACTGGCAGCTCATGTGAATATGTTCAGTGACTAATTACCACAGTAACAAAACTGCGAAGGCAGGTTTCACTTTGTGATCTGACTTGTCTAGCATCATCATTAGTTGGGATCGTAACATCATGTAAAGTGCTATATAAATGCAAGTTTTATATAAAAAAAGGTTATAAAAAAAAAGTCTAGTCTGTTCTATGTGCCTTACAGAAAGGGAGCAAAGGCGAGAGCCCAGTTACTTATGTCCGTGTGGAGTATAATAACTTGCAACTTGGAGACTCCGGAAAATTGCAGATGTCAGAAAATGAAATAGAGTACAACTTCACAACCAGCTTTGACTGCACACTTGATGGGATTCAAGGATTAGACAACCTGGTACACAAACCTGTAATTTGTGAGTTTCTGCTCTAATTAATCATTGAATTACAAACATTCATGTACATGAGCATGTAGATGAATAATACTGAAACACATTAGAACTAAGATATTTCTAAGAAGAGAGATGCAAGATATGTTATAATATCAGTGAAATCTAAACTGTTAAAGTTGATTATATCATGGAACTGAACCCAGGAATATCTAATACTTAAGTACAGTAATGTACCATTAAACTAGAGGACAGAGATTTAGCCGCTGCAATAACAGTGACTTCTAATGGTCAAGTGGAAACATGCAGTTTATGTTACAGAATATTCACACAGTGTTTCTATATATTCAGAGCTGACTTTTTTTTTCTGAACATGACCACAATATTGCATCTTTGTCAGCTGTTCTGATCAAAAGTTATTGAATTGTTAATTCTCTTTCTCTCTCACCAGATGCTGAGAATTTCGAATATTTTCTATTCTTATTTAAAATTTCCATTTTTAAAATAATTCTGAGCAGGTTTTCTAAGGTCAGAGAGGTTATCCATCAATGATATGGCTTTGTATTTTGTTAAGAATCCAGTTAGATTGCATTAACAATAACATTTTCAAAGATTCTCACAGTGGGATTATCAGTGTTAATGTGGATTTTCATGTTAATTCAACAATTTGTAACTGATTTCCATTTGTGAGGATTTCAACAGTGCATCCTGTGGTGAGCTGGGAATCACGTGTCGCAAGATCTTGATTTCCATGTTTAACTGTGTGTGCATAGCTGTCAGAAGTTGCAGTAAATTTAACAGAATAATGATGACAAACACTTGAGTTTTACCGCCTGAATCAAATATTTTGCAATAAATTATTTAACAACAGTGTACATTTATATAGTTTCTGTTCCAAGGTGCTACACAAAAATGTAAGCAGACAAAAATTGAAACCAAACCTAGAAGGTGATATCAGAGATTAAAGATAGCTTCATCATTTTGGAACTTTTATCTTTTTGCTGTTCTGTGGTCAAAGTATGCCAAGATAATTACTAATACCTTATTTTTAAATGTTTCTTCTTTATATGAAACTATAGTGACAGTAATTGAGGTTTTACCAAAAGAGAAGAAAAAAAAAGATGAGAAGATTATTATCCTCGGCCAAGCCACAGTGGACCTTTTGCCCCTGGCTCAAGGTGTGTGCTCATGTGTGACACCACTTACTCATTTAGTGAAACTGATTACACAAGGCACCCACAGCTAATGTTGAATGTTCTCTTACCCTTAGGAGAATGTGCATTCACAAAGACCATGACACTCCATCCTTTAGCAGGAACTGGTTTGGAGCAAAATGCATCAGAGGAAACAAAGGTAATCGTGTCCATAGACCAAAGTTTAATATGATTTGTCATTCTTATTTCTGTCCACTATTGTATTTTTAACAAATAAGTTTGCACATTCTCTCCATGTCTGCATGTGTTTCCTCCAGGTGTTCCGGTTTCCTCCCACAGTCCAAAGATGTGCAGGCTAGGTGGATTGGCTGTGCTAAATTGCCTGTAGTGTCCAGGGATGTGGGTTAAAGGAGAATGGGTCTGGATGGGATGCTCCAAGGGTCGGTGTGCACTTGTTGGGCCGAAGGGCCTGTTTCCACACTGTAGGGATTCTATGAAATGAACAGTGTTGGAGAGGCTCGGCAGGTCTGGCAGTATCTGTTGAGAGAAACGCAGAGTTTTGGACTCTGTAAAGGTTGGCTCCAGTTATATGAAATCAGACTAGGCCATATAGCCTCTTGAGCCTGCTTTGCTGTTCAATAAGGTCATGGCTGATTTGATGTAACCTCAAATGCACAAAACTGTTCAACCTCTGCCTCTGCCCTAAAATTATTCAAGGACTCTGCTTCTACAACCTTTTTCGGAAGAGAATTTCCCTAATCTCAGTTTTAAGTGGGCAACCCATAACTTTAGATTGTCGCATTGGAGAACACATTCTGTCCACATCCATCTTGTCAATACTCCCCAGGATGTTATATCCTTATTTTTAATCATTCATGGGATGTGGACATCACTGGCTAAGCTAGCATTTATTGCCCAGAGGGCAAGTAAGAGTCAGCCACATTGCTGTGGGTTTGGAGTCACACATAGGCCATGTGAGGACAAGTATGTCCTTATCTAAAGGGCACAAGTAAACAGTGTTTTTTGTGACAATCAATAATGGTTTTAAAGTGAACATTGGATTTGTAATTCCAGATTCTATTAAACTCAAATTTCACCATCTGCCATGGCAGGAATTGAACCTGGATCGCCAGAGCATTTCCTGAGTTTCGGGATTAATAATTTAGTGATAATGCCACTAAGCCATCACCTCTTGATAATTCTCCAGCTGACTTTCTGAAGTGTAATACTTAGTACTAGTCTGGGCAAAGAGGTTTAGCCCTATTAGAGAGTGGGAGGTAATTCTCTAGAAGAAAGAAAAAAAACTGAAATCTGGGGACATTCGGTCCTTCTGGTGTTATTAGCCATTGAATAAGTATTATTAACAGATTATCTGCCATTTCAGTTCAAGATAGGAAGGGGGACTTGGGGTAAGGGGAGATCTAAGAGGCTGAAGAAACAAATGGAACAAAACTTGTCCTGTCTATAAGCAATTCATTAAATCACTTAACATTTTGCTTGGAAATCGGAATGTCAGAAACCATCAAACAGTTTTTAAATATAAGTTTGTTAGATATGTTAAATCAAAACAAGTATGATTAGCATAATAATTTTGTGTCATCCAGTCCCAGGTGGATATTGCTGTGTCCGTCCTAGAACCATTGCTTTCTGAAGCCCAGTTAGAACAGTCAAATCTTCTGAGAATCACAACAGAGTCTGCCTACTCAGTACCTGATATCTGGGCCCTCACTGGGCCACAGTTTAACTATATGGTTTCTCTGTTTCTGCCAACTGCTACTTCGGTAAGTAAAGGAACCCGTTACTTTGGAATGTACTAGCCACATCAGGCTTTCTTGACTTTAACTAAACAGCACTGAAACAGGCCACTCAGATCTTTCATATTAGTGTTTACCTTCCACATGAACGTCCTTACATTTTACTTCATCCATCCTATCAACATATCTTTCTATTCTTTTCTTCCTTGTACTACCTAGCTGCCCTTTAATTGCGTCATTGCTTCACACCTCAACCATTCTATGTGGTTGTGTGTTATATATATTTTTGCCATTTTTTGAAAGAACTTTCTTTTGAATTTAATAAGAGATTTACTTATGACTATCTATGTCATGGTCCCTAGTTTTGGAGTAAGGATATGTTTTACAGGATAGCAGTGATCCTCATGCTTCTATATGTGTCAGAAACTTAGCCAACCCAACGGGCACTTCAAAGCCCTGGAAAAGTATCATCGCAGATGCCTTCACAAGATCCTTTAAATCTATTGGCAATAAATGCAGTCCAACAACAGCCTCCTTTCCCCAACCAACTTGTCCAGCATCGGGACAGTAATCACTCAAAATCAGCTGCACTGGGCATAACATCTCGCTCGTGTGCCTCAGCAGGATCCTGAAGCAACTGCTCAATTTGGAACACAGTTGTGGCAAGAGATTCCAGGAGGACGATGGAAGTGCTTTAGTTATGTCCGCAAAGCATCCCTGAAGAGGTCAAAACTCCCCACCAACATATAACATTGTCTGGCTTGTGACTGACCAAAATGGACAGATCATTTGGGAAGGCACCTAATAGGTTTTTGACTTGCTCACCATGCTGGCTGGTTATAGTTCAAACATTTCATCACCATTGTAGGTAACATCATCAGTGCAGCCTCCGATGAAGCGATGTTGTTCTACTCCGCTTAGTACGGTCAACCTAGATTCAGAGTAAAGGGAAGAACGTTGAAATTTGAATTCTTCTGTTTGCATTGACATTCTGCAAAACTGTTTGCTTGTGTTTTGTTGCAGTCTTCTCCAATGGGTACAAACTCAACCTACACAGTCTCTATCATAAAAATAGACCCCATACCCAGAATCAACCCAGTGAACCTTCTCTGGATTACTTCCAATGCCAGTATATCTTTGCTTAGATAACAGGACTGGGACTGTTAACAGTATTCCACTCGTGGTCTGAACAGTGCCTTGTATAAATTTAGCAAGATCTCCCTATTTGTATACTTCATTCCTTTTAAAATAACGGCCAACATTCCATTTGCCTTCCCTGTTACTAGCTGAAATTCGATGTTAGCTATTTGTAATTCAAGCACAAAGACCCCCAAATCCATCTGTGCTGCAGCTTCTAAATGTAAATAATATTCCCCATGTCAGGAATTTTTCAAGGAAAAAGAATCAATTATTTGAAGCAACTCATGACACAGATCATTCTGAGATACAACACACTAAGGATGAATGCAAGAACATATTGTGTTTGTGACTGAAGACTTTAGTCAGTCCATGAGTATCTTAGTTGCTGAGAAAACTGGAATTTCTCATCAGGATGTCCAAGAAGTGTTATTGACCTCTGCAGATAGGAGTTTGATTGAGAACAAGCAGATTATATGGAATTTGCAGAAACAGTTTGCTTATCCCCCTACAAAAAAAATGCTCCTGTTCAAGGATGCCAGAGTTGTAGATAAAGAATACAAAATCTGTAAAACAGATCACATCAAAATGTGGTGCATGTGTTAAATATCATAAGACATCACCATTCCTGGTTGTAATTGTTTCTTTAGCGCAGGAATTTAATGAATTTGAGCCATGGATCTGAAGATATGGGACAAAGCTCAGGATGTCTGTTACTTTCTGTAGGTATGCTGACCAAATTTAGTATAACCATGGTAAGTAAACACTAAGAACAGATGGGCTGTAGTGGGCAAAGTCATGAAAAAGTGGGTTGACACAGGCCTTAGGTCACCAACAAAATACTTAATTGATAATGGAAGTGAATTTGCAAATAATGAATTTCTGGACATGTATGAAAACCTAAATATTATGTAATGCATACTACTGCAGGATGTCCATTTAGCAATAGATTGTCTGAAAGAAACCATGCAATATTGATGTTGTACAAAATACTGGCAGATCAGCCAAATTGTAAATTACAGATTTCAGATCTGCTGACGTTTCACTATTAAAAAAAAGGGAGAATAACTCAGAATGAAAAAGGGCAGGAAAAGTTACTGAGCGTCTTGGGGAAACTGGCAGGTGGAATTAGTTTAATTTGGGATTATGTTTGGCATGGACTAGTTGGACCAAAGAGTCTGTTTCTGTGCTGTATGACTCTATAACTCTATAACTACAGGAATCAGACTATAAAGATGCGTTCCTCGTGCATAGAATGGATGAGTTATGAACTTTTGGTCTTTGAGAATGTGGGAGAAGATATTTATGATGAAGCAACATGTACTACACATAGCTATGAGTTCTACAGTTTAGAACCAGAAGGGTGAGATGTGAGAGCTCAGGGGATACACATCAATATGTGTCCTGATCATGTAGAATGTAAAAAGTAATCTCATGGGGATGATTTGCACCAAGTAGGCTCAGAGATAGATTATTGACCAGCAGAGTCCGATGACTAAAAAGTGGCTATGATAGTGGGAAATGCAGGCAAGTCAGTTGGAAAATATAAACACTGCCTAGATGTCCAAGCTAAGCGGGCCATAGATTGGCAGCAGGGGTTACAAGATTGGAGAACTAGAGACTTGCAGATTTGATACTGATTTGGAGGATTCATTCTGGAGGAAAAGGTTGAGTAGAGAGGATTTCTGGTGGTCATCCTGATAAGAGTAATCCAGACAGATCTCAAAATGAGAAAAATGACCTCAGCGCAACTGGATAATGCATAAAAGTGTTTATGGGTACCAGCAGAATTAAAGGTAGAGTTACAAAAGAAACTAAGCAAAGAGAGTTATGGAAAAAAATTAGGATTTTATGGTCTCCAAGCTACCTACACTTTCTCTTCTAAAGCATCCTGCCCAAACCACAGGAATGGGAGAATACCTCAAATATATGCTGTGTGCTGGTTCAAAAAAAAATGAAGAAAAAAGCACAGAAATAAATCATTCTATTGGATCATGCAGTCTGGAGAAAGTGATGACTTTATGTAAAGTGTTGTAATCGCATGTGATGTTATCACTGGATAAGGCAGTTGTCAGACAGAAATCTGTCTTGATAGAGCATATGTTATATTTTGTGCTTGGCTTTAATGAGCTGAGGCTGTTCACCTTAGGGACGAGAAGGTTGAGATAAGATTTGATGGAAGTGTTCAAAATCAGGAGGGGTCTCAGAAGAGTAGAAAATATAGAAAACAGAAAAGGCTTGAGATCCAGAAGACAGTGATTTAGGGTGAATAGTAAATGAACCAAAAGTGACATGAGAAATAACTTGTATACAGAGTGTGAAAAAGCTTGGATGCACTGTTTTAGAATGTGGTGGAAGCAGTGTTAGTTTCAAATGGAAATGGATATTGATCTGAGGAGGAAAAGAAAAATCCCAGGCTAATGAGGGAATAGGCTGTGTTTCTGTAGCCTACTGGTTATCACATTTGCCTAATATGTGAATGGTCAACATTTTGAAATCGGGCAGAGAGGCTCTCATGGTACAATGGTAGTGTCCCTATCTTTGGGCCAGAATGTTTATGTACAACTTGCAGTGCCTTGGTTTGTCATAACCTGTCTGAACAGGTTGATTAAAAATAATAATTATACAGCAAATGAACAAGGGATTGGAGCTAGTTGAGCTGCTCTTGCAAAAAGCTGACATGAACACAACAGGTTGAATACTATCCTTCTGTGCTGTAATTTTTCCATGATTCTAGTCTGTGTTTGATTAACTTATCTGGTGGCTTTCACAAAAACCCTGAAGTTCTACAGTGTGTTGTTTTAGTATCTTGGTCTCCTGCATGCATTAATTTGACAAGTTGTTGACTGATTTACAATTGTTCAAATCACATTATTTCATGACTCTTAAATGGATTGCATTTCAGAAGGAATTTCGTGTGTTATTTACTAATGGGATTCTGAAAGGGGAAAAGGAGCCCAGTATCAGACCGAAGAGATGGCCAGTAAGCAACATCACTGCAATTGGAGCCCAAAATATCCCAGATTCTTTCATAGAGATTAGTCCTTTTGAGGATGAGGATGGGGAATTAAATCGCAAAGAGGTAGGACACAGTGTAAAATAGTGTTTCTTGATGATCAGTGCTGGGTGCTCCTATTACTTAGCAGTAACTTAAACTATTTGGACTTGGGAATCATAAGTATAATTTCAACATTTCAAAATTGGGGGCTGTAACAATCAGTTAATGCTGAGGAAAACTAACAACATACAGGAATTGAGCATTAATAAACTTTCAGAATGGGTGCTGAGTTAGCAAATGAACTTCAATACCAATATTGTTTCAGAGATAGTAGGAATTGCAGATGCTGGAGAATCTGAGATGACAAGGTGTAGAGCTGGATGAACACAGCAGGCCAAGCAGCATCAGAGGAGCAAAATTGGAGGAGCGGTCTAGGCCCGAAATGTCAGCCTTCCTGCTCCTCTGATGCTGCTTGGTCTGCTGTGTTCATCCAGCTCTACACCTTGTCATCCTCAATATCAATATGTTGTTATGACCAAGGCAGGAGGAGTACACTGTTGTTCTACTACTTGGGTAAAAATGTAAAACAAAAATAGATTTTTCCAGTGAGAGATGCCAGTTTAATACATTATTTCTGTCAGGTTTTAATTAAAAAAGTTAATTAAGGTTGAAATAACTGGTTGACATACACAGTCAATAATATGAATTTATTCCTCTAAATAACCTAAAACACAAGCATACCCTTCAGAAAAGAGAGGTAAAAAGGCATTTCTCACTGCAGAGGTTGTGTTAAAAAAGACACTTATGGCCATTACGGTTATTCTTGAAGGCAAAATAGGTGTAAAATATTTTGAAGTCTGACATTTTGATGTTCTGGCATGTGTGGTCAAGTTGTTAACCATGCACAGTTGTCTCGGGTTTCTTGACAGATACAGGAAACACAATATTGAGCATATACTACATTCTTGCAATCACTGTTACAAAAGAACAGTAGTTTCACCCTTAAGTTTTTTTAGAGAGGAGCGATCAGCCGTGCAACTCTTTCTCACAGACTTCTTGTTGCCTAATTGCGGATGTCAAAGTACTTTCCAGCCAACCGATGTTCTGATGAAGAGTCACCAGACTCAAAACGTTAACTCTGCTCTGTTCTCACAGATGCTGCCAGACCTGTTTGACCTTCTCCAGAAATTTCTTGTTTTTGTTACTGTTCAAACAGGTGTGCACAACTGTTACCACCAGTTAACAGTTATCACCAGTCAAGTGATTTCTTTGAAGCCTTGTTAAAAATCTCCAATATCCCATTCAATTGTGTGTGAGAGCACCCTGGGTATCAAAACCCCTCCTTTATCCACAGTGACCTTTCAATGATCACCTTTAAAGAAACTACTCCAGATATTATCATAAAGTTTGAAATAAATCCATTTTTCCAAGATCCTTCAAAACTTAAGCCCTCCAAGAAATATTATAAATTGATGTATTGGATTTTGGTGAGATGAACAAAGGGCAGAACTTATACAGTTAATTGTAGGGCCCTGGATAGTGCTGTCAAACAGAGAGACCTAGGTGTTCAGGTACATACTTCTTTGAAAGTTGCATCACAGGTAGACAGGGTAGTTAAGAAGGCGTTCAGCACACTTACCTTCATTGCTCATAACCATTGAGTGTAGGAGTCGGGACGTCATGTTGCAGTTGTAGGATGTTGGTGAGGCCACTTTTGGAGTACAGTGTACAGTCCTAGTCGCCCTGATATAGGAAGGATATTATTAAACTAGAGATAGTTCAGAAAAGATTCGAAAGGATGTTGCCAGGACTGGAGGCTTTGAGTTATAAGGATAGGCTGGAACTTTTTTCACTGGAACGTAGGAGGTTGAGGGGTGACCTTATAGAGGTTTATAAAATCATGTGGGGCATAGATAAGGTGAATAGCAAAGGTCTTTTCTCTAGGGTAGAGGAGTTTAAAACTATATGGCATACTTTTAAGGTGAGAGGAGAAAGATTTAAAAGGGGCAACATTTTCACACAGAGAGTGGTTAGTATATGGAATGAACTGCCAGAGGAAGTGGTAGATGTAGGTACATTTACAAAATTTAAAAGATATCTGGACAGGTACATGAATAGGGAAGGTTTAAAAAATATGGGCCAAATGTAGGCAAATGGAACTAATTTAATTTAGGAAACTTGTGACCCCTTTCTTGGCTCCAATGGTGACAGGCTAGGATATGGAAATTAGGAAGGAGAAATAGTGGACATCCATTTGGAAAACTTCCTGAAACATTTCCACAGTCATGGAAACTTCCCAAGGTGGTCTGAGAAGCAGTGTGTTGTGCCCAGGTGCCATTGGAGAGGCAGCATGCAGAGTCTAGTAATACTTTCAATGCTCTTAGAGAGAGAGGTGGGCATGACAAGGAGTAGAGTGCTTTATCTCCTCTTCCAACTCCATTTTGATTTAGTCCATTTCCTACCTCTTGCTCACCTTTGATGACCTGCATTGCCCTTGACGGGTTTTGCATGTAAGTTAATCAACTGGGGAACGTGAGTGATTTACTGGTGGTGGTTATTATGTGAAAACATACCACCAGTGATTTAGTAATGGCAAGAAAAAATACTCAGTTGCGTGTAAGAGCGGTTCTAGTTATGAAAATGCAGCAGTTTGGCTGTCAGACTACTGATGCAGACAACCAATTTGCTTTGTTAAAGTTAGAGGTGATTTTATTGCTTCATTAGCAGTCAGTGGAACAGTAGCTCCTCCACTTGCTCTTCCCCACCCAACCTGGCACCCATTTCCCCACCACCATCCAGGAAACATTTGAAAGCTGTTCACGCTGACAGGAGTGAATGAAAACTATTTACAGGGAGAATTAAACAAGCCAAGCCTTATCTTTGTCATTTATAAACATCAATCAGGTGGCTGAAAGTAACAGGGATGCCTGAAATGACAGATAATCGCATTTTAATGAGGCACATACAACTGCTTGAACTGCTTAATTTGCTTTCAACAGGAATTAACGCCCCTGGTAATAGCAAATGGATATTCCAATTACTTGATATGGACCACTGTTCAACTTAAGTCTGAACAGTTTGTGCGGCGGGCGTTCTACTTAGATATCTATGTGCAACAAGAGAAACATGTAGGATTATTTGTCTCTATTATTCAGGATTTGGCATTTAGAACAGAGGCAGAAAGTGACAAGAAGCATGTCACATGGAACATAGAGAGACGCTGTTTTATGGAGCCTGAGGCTTTGATAAGGTAACAGCCATAAGTCAATACAATATCAGTACAACCAGGAATTTAGATCAGCAGTGTTTTTATGTTATTTGTGGACTGTGAAATTAATCTCGCCCAAACTGATAGGGTTAAAAGTCTACTTTGTGATAGCCATGAGATCCTATATGAAATTAGTTTATGGAATTGCAAACGAGTTCAGAGAACAAAACGTAGTTAGAAAATGGGTCTTTTTGCTCTCGACATTGAGAAGCTGTTTGCCAGCCAAATTTCCAACTTTAACCCCAATGTCCACATCATTCGGTGCTTGGGAAGAACCCTCTCTGTGTTTCCAATCTACCCATGTCAGTGTCTTTTGAACTCACTAAAATTTGCCTTTTTCCAGTTGAGTATCTGCACTTTTGATTGTTCCTTGTAATTTCTGATAAGTAGTCTAAAACTAATATTGTGATCATTAGTCTCCCCACTCCCTCTCTTTATGTTTCCTTTTCACTGTCTTTTTGTCTCCCTTTCACTACTCTATTAGCAATAAGATCCTAATCCTAAGCCTTTGCCTGTTTTGTGGAATAAACTGTTTTTAAGTTGTGTTGCTAAAATGGAGGAGGAGATTCATCTGCTCTGGGTTGGTTATTCACGGGGTAAAAGAGAGGAGAAAATGAAAAATTGAATATCTAAGAGGAATCTTTTTCTTGATTAATTAAAATCAATTTCTTTCAGACTGCAGAAGTACATAGCTGAATCCATGTACATCCCTGTGGAGATCAAGCGTATACCATTAGCCCCTCCAACTAAGGCAGGAGGAAAAACCAGCAAAATTGAAAAGGTCAGTTATTTATTTACAGAAGTTTATTGAGAAAGGGGGAAGGAAAACATTGAGAGGCTGTCTTTATTATCCAACATACCACTCGTATAAAAATAGTATGGCTGTCTTATTTAACGATTACCCACTTTAAATTGGAAAATATCTGATCATCCTTCCTGTTTTAGTTACATCCTAGATCCTAGGGCATCCACATCGCTTCTGAGGTTGCACAACTGTAAAAATGAGGGCATGACTTTAAACTGTTCTGAGCATGCTCCAGTGCCATCTAGCCTGGGAAATTAACCAGCCGTAAAATCTGCATTCCTAGTCTACAGCATGATTTCTCAGAACTAGGCTGTTACAAAATGACATTCAAAGCAGCCTAATAATATTTTCCATTTATACCTCATTGCTCACCACAAAACATCTTATGATCGGTTCGGTCATCTACAAGTTGCTTGCAGCACATACCTATCATTGGCTGTATTTAGTTATGTACGCCACATTTTTCATTTTAGTATACTCCTAAAATATCAATTTGTATCATTTAAATTTCACTGTGGAGAAAGGATATCAGCCTGCTCATAATTTTTATACATTCTTGGGATTATTGCCCATTCCGTTCCGTTGGACAGATTTCTTTGCAATATCACACATACTGGGTCCTTTTGCTTTGGTAACACAAAGAACTCCAATTATTTAATTTATAGGCCAGATTTCTGTACTGAGAATGTTTTTTAAATAATTGTAAGAGCACAACACACTGAATATTTTGTCAAAATAACTTTATTTCTGTATTTTATATCACAAAAAATGTGTTCTCTTGCCCTGTCTCTAAGTTTGTTGTCACTTATGACTGGATATACATATTGGATTCAAAAATACAAATTATATGTAGGTAGCAATGAACTGCAAAATAAGTTTTGATTAACTTTTCCAAGTACACACTGCAGCCAATGTTCAGAAAATGTAGGCAGTTACCAAAAAATGTAATAAATCATGAAATTGATTACATTTTTCCATGAAATAATCAGATAATTAAACTTCTTAATTTATACTTTCATGGAATGTGGATGTCACTGGCAAGACTACTGGTGACAGATGTGCTATAGAAGGTACTATAGCAGATGTGCTATAGCAGTACAGGACCGTGACTTGGAGCTATATAGAAGTGTGATGAGGACTGTAGCTTTATACGATAAGAGTGTGGTTTGTGCTTTAAGGTGGTGGTTGCTTGTTTGCAGTGTCTGCCAAATGTGTTTGTTTTAGAAAGCCTATGGTCCACTTCCATGTGAATGTGAAAGTTGTCATTGTCTCAGAGGACCCATTAGGGAGACACAACTGGTGATGTGTTTAGCCAGACAATAACTCTGCCTCAGATGAGGGGTGAGATTGAGAAAGCATGTCTTCATGGTGTCCTCAGCTGGTACAGAATTTGAAGACATACTGTTGGTATCACTCTGTATCACAAACCAGCTGACCAGCCAACTGAGCTTATAGTGGCATCAAATGTGATGACATTTCCCAGCATGTAAATTGCTTGACAGCATTCAGCTTGGTTCCCTCAATGATAATGCTTGGTGGTCTATATTCTTTTGGGGGTGCAGGATGATGCAGGATTTTGATTTTCATTAAACTGCTTTTTCGATCTAAAGACTTGTGACCCCTTGAAAAAATGTCTTGTTATATGTTGCAAACCCAACTAACTGTGGGCCTCTGAAAAATATGTTGCTATACCTTGTAGGTCCGACTACGGGCCAGGAGAGTGATCCAGTCAATGAATTAACCAAGTAACTTAATCACCTACATAACTACTTACCATATTAAGAATCTATAATAACAGTAAGGTTTTCATTTCTAGTGTCCATTCTGGCCTATGAGTTACATAATTGAAGTGCTTCATATTTTTAAAGCAAATGGACCCAGTGTGTAAGATAGCAGAAAAATCCATTCAAGAGAAGAGAATGGGTAATAAATGTTGACCTAGTCATCAAAGGCCACATCCCATGAAGGAGCTTAAAAATGGAGATGGTGGTGTAGTTGTAATGTGCTGGCAGCACCTCATCACAAACACTGATGCGCTTGAAACAGTCAACATCCGCAGCATCAAAGCCTTCATCCTGCAAAGCTAAATGCATTGGGTGGGTCATTCTGCCGAGATGGACAACAGTTCCCTTTCCAGTATCAGGCTATATGGAGAGGTGACCATTCATAAGCAGGACAGAGGGCCCTCCAAATAAATGTTTCAAGGACTCCCTGATGGAGTCTCTCTGACTGCTGCAAAGACCATCACTGGTGGGTAGTGCAGGCCATAAATTATGATGTCTAGAGATGCTATATTGGGAGTGGTACAATCACCTTTGAGTCTGACTAATCGGCAAGAAAGACAAAAGAAGAAGGAGGATGGATGTAATCTACACCTTCACATCCACCCAATGGAAGAGAATCTACCGATCATGGATATGTCTAATTAGCTATCAGAGGGCTAAAATCTTCCTAAAATCTTTGTCTGCAGAGAAAGGCCAGAAGAGGGATATAGAAAAGAAGACAGGTGGGACTGGTGTGTGGAAGGAGCTGTAAGACTGAGTAGTTAATAAACTCTATCTACAAGGAGAAGCGTCTTGATTTTTGTCTCATTGACCTGCTTGGATCCAAAAATTGACATTGATCACGGAATAAAAGGACCAAGTGTAACATGAAAATAGGTTCTATTTTAATTTCTCTGTGGAAATTTTGCAGTGATCTGTTCATTTTTATTTGCAGACAGAAGAAGAAGGACCTGTCTCATTCCATGGTGTAGCATATGTTAATATGGCTCCTTTATTGTATCCAGGAGTGAAGCGGATTCGAGGAGCATATCCAATCTTCCCTTTCAATGAATTTGATATAATTGAAAAGGTAACATTGATGTAGTAATATTCTGTAATTGGGAAAGAATGTCAAGGTAGATTATGAGTCAAGAACGCCTTGTACATATTTTTGCTCATCATATCGGGTAAGGACAGAACAAGAGATGTGCCCTTTCTCTGTCTGAAACAGGTGTTAGGCTTTTGCATATGTGAATAGTGGACTGAATACTTATTTTCAGAAAAACATCTCGAAGATAGGTTTACCTTGAAGCCACTGAATGTTTTCCAGGAAACCTGACTAGCGATCACCTGCAAAAATGGAAGGTCCGTAATTTACCGGAATGTGGAGCTAGAAGAAGCAATACATTAAAAGAGATAATTGCTGCTCCCAAGTCTCTACCTGTCAGTTGACTCCACTCCCAACCTGATCCCCAGTTGTTGGTTTAGATCTCCCCATCATCATGACTCAGGCTTTGTGGTCCCTGTCACTAACTGCATAATCTCCAACCCTTGCAATGCAATCCAGTTACCAATTCCAACCCAACGTTTGAATGCTGATGGCACCTGTTCCAAGAGCTCCTGCAATATGAAGAACAACCCAAACCTCAGGCAGAGTGGTGGAGGAGAAGAAAAGAAAGCAAGCAAATCCTGCAGTCCAGACTGCAATATCTTGTGGGGTATCCTTCCCTATGTACCCCAAGATCTATGCTTTCAGAATCAGCATGGTCACTCACATGAAAGACTACAGCAGAAACTCACAAACCCAATTACTTGTCATCTGATGACGAACCCAAACTTTGACTTTTCTTCACCATAGGCTCTTTAAGCTTTTCCATTAGCATTGAAATGGCTCAACATCTGGACAGTGCCAAGGCTCACCATAAGAACTGTGAGTAGGATTAGGCAATTCAGCCCTTCGAGTCTGCTTCGCCATTTAATGCAGTCATAGCTAATCTCACCTCGGCCTCAACTCTACTTTTCTGCCCACTCCCCATTGCTAATTGAAAATCTGTCTATCTCCTCCTCAAATGTATTCAGTGATTACCTTGCTGACATCGGAGTCATTGGATAGATAATAAACTGTGCCCCTCACATGCAAAAAATCATTATGGTTCAATATCTGGACAGTGACTTCATCAGTGCTCATGTCATTTTACAAGTTTATATTGCAAGAATTTCTGAGAGATACATGTTGCTTAATATGCCTGATTACAGAAAACCAAAAGGACTTTATTTCAATAATGCCTTTCTTGACCCCCAGACATAGTTGCTCGATAGATGGAAATATTGCAGAATTGTGGACTGGGAAAAGAATGCACTTGTACTTATATAGTGTCTTTTATGCACTTGTAATGTCACAAAGTGCTTCATAACCAAGTTAATCTTTCTGAAGCACAGTTAATGTTGGAATCTAAGGAAGCATTGAAGTTAATTTTCAAACAATAAATCCCTCAGACAGAATAAAATACATTTTATTGAATTAGCTTAGGGATTGGTGAGAACACTTGGAGAAATCCATCACTCTTCTTCAAAAATGCTATGGAATCTTTAATGCTCACCTGAGAGGACAGTTTGCATATAATTCCTCTGAAAAATGATACATCCAGCAATGCAACGTATTTTGAATCAAGGGACTGAACGTACAGTTGCTAAATTAGCTAATGATGCAAAAAATATCTAGGAAATTAAGTTGTGAAGATGACATAAGGACTCTGCAAATGCATTTGCATAGGTGAAGTGATTGGTAAAAATGTGTCAGATGGAATATGATTGTGAAAATGTGCACATGTCCATTTTCATCGGAGAACAGAAAAGTAGCGCATTATTTAAATAGGGAGAGTTTGCAGAACTCTGAGCTACAGAAAGATCTAGGTGTCCTGTTATACATATTGAAGTAATTATACAAGTATGGCAAGTGATTAAGAAGGCAAAAAGAATATTGTTGCTTATTGCAAGAGGATTGGAACATAAAAGCAGAAATGTTTTGGTGCAATGATAATGGAGTACAGTGTACAGTTTTAATCTTAGTTGAGGAAGGACATAAATGTTTTAGAAGCATTTCAGAGACTGTTTACTCAGCTAATACTAAGGGTGGGAGAGAGTTGTCTTATGAACAAAGGTTGGAGAGGCTGGTTCTGTATCCATTAGGATTTAGAAGAATGAGAGGTGATCTTATTGAAACACAATGTTTTGAGGGGATTTGAAAGGGTGTATGCTGAAAGGATGATTCCCCTTCCCTGTGAGACAGACTAGAACGAGGGAACATAATTATTTTTGTTTAAAAAAGGTATTCCATTTGAAACAAGGATGAGAAGAATTTTTTTCTCTCAAAGGATAGTGGAGGCTTTAGTACTCCCTTTCCCAGAAAGTGGTGAAGGTGAGGTCATTGAATATTTTTAAGGCAGACATGGATAGATACTTGTCTAACAAGGGATTCAAAGGTTATGGAGGGGAGGTAAGAATGGGGAGTACTGGCCACAATCAGATCAGCCATGAAGTTATTGAATGGTAGAATGATTTTGAAGGGCCAAAAGGCCTTCTCGTGTTCCCAATTTATATGTTTGAATGGTCATTACACGCTTTGAGATCTGAATGAATATTTCTGTAATAGAGATTGATGCCATGACCTCTGTTTTAAAGTTGTGAGGGCCTCCTCTGAGGCAGGTGTGACATTTAAAAGTGCATCTTAACTAATCAGTTGGATCTAATATTTAGATACTGGTGGTGTAAAATTGAGTAAATTAACTGAAAAGCAGGCACAAAGCATTCGTAACAATAGTGAGGACTGATGACAAAAATAAGAAAAGCAAAGCAAAAACAGGAATAGGCTACTTGCCACATGCAAAGTGGAGGAACAACACCTCATATTCCACCTCGGGAGCCTACAGCCCGATGGTCTGAACATAGAATTCACCAGTTTCAAAATCTTCCCACCCCCGGCCTCATCGCATGTCCAGCCCTCCCTCTCATCCCTGCCTCCTTGACCTGACACAACCTGTCTATCTTCTTCCCCACCTATCAATCCCCACTGCTCCTACCTGCAACCACCAATTGCCATCCCACCTACCTTCCTCCAGCCCCACCCTCCTCCCTCTATTTATTTCCCAGCTCCCTTCCCCCTTCCCAGAACCGATGAACGGTCCTGACATGAAACGTCGATTCTTCTGCTCCTCTGATGCTGCCTGACCTGCTGTGTTCCTCCAGCTCCACACTGTATTGACTTGGGCTAATTAATCCCTCAACACACTTTGTCATTCAATATCCTGACTGATTAATTACCTATCCTTATAGTGCCTTTGGCCCACATTCCAAATGCCTTTGGCTGGCAAAATTCTATTATCCCCAGTTGGAAAATTAACAATTGATCGAGCTTTGTTTGCAGTTTGTGGTAGACCACACCAAACTCTTTTTCACCCTATCACCTTGGGTAAGAATATTACGTGTGACATAAGCAAGAAAAAAGACTGGAGAAATGAATATGATGAGAAATTTAAAGCTATCACTTCTAAGTTAAAGCCAGTTAAAAAAAAATGCTGATCACTTCAGTAAATTTTCAGAAAACATTCAAGTTTTAGAAAAGAAACTTTTATATTCCATCTTAATTTATATTTTCTTATGACAAACTCTCTCATTAATGTATTTATTGTGAATGATTCAGACAAAACGCAAGAACCGGGAAGCTTCTGGTGTTCCAGGTGGATTGAAGGGTGCAGCTTCACATCCCAAAAATCCCTTTAATAAGATTAAAGATGATAAAACACCGAAGGAAATACATAAGAAGGTATGATTCATGTCATTGCCAAATCTTGCGTTGTTGTCACAAGTCAGTGTTTCATTCCAAGTGGCCAGTGCCTTCACTGGCACAAAGCAATTGATGCTGTTTATTACCCTCATCCATTGTGCAATGCTAATTTTCATCCTCCCCATCATTACTTTGATTGCGCTGTGCTATAGCTTGTTATTTTCACTTGATATACATTGTAGGGGATTCATACTTTAATACTGGAGCCCTTATAAGATTTTACCTCTGGTTTCACAGAAAATTTATGGCATGACAGCTTGGTCCATAATGTCTATGTCAATGGATAAACCTCTTTCTAGCCAAATCTCACTTTCCAACTGTTGGTCCATAATTCTGTAGATTACAGCACTAGCACATCTCCATTTTATTTTAATGCAAAAGAGTTTCTGCTTCCACTACTTTTTCAGGCAGCAAACTAAACTCTGGGCATAAACAATTCCCCAATCTACTTCTTATCTTTCTGCCAATTACTTGAATTCTTTGCTCCTGGTTAATGACCTCTCTGTTCCTGTCTCTCAGCCTCTCATATTTTTGTACACTTTAATTAAATCTGCCCTCATCTTCCTCTGTTCTAAAGAAAATAACCTTGGATCTATATCCAGTCTTTTCTCGTTGTAAGTAATCTCTATCTCTGGCACTTTATAAATCTCCTCTGAACCCTCTATAACGCAATCTGTAATGCAGACACCAGAAGTCCATGCATGTTCCCTGACTGTGGGTAATGGTGTTCCGTAAGAAACTGAGATAAACTTCCCCCTTTTATATTCTGTGCCTCAACCACAAAAGGAAAGTATCCCATATATCTTCTTAGCAACCTTATCTATTGATCCTGTTACCTTCTGGAATCTGTGAACATGCAGTCCGAGGTCCTCTTTATGTTCCTCCACTCTTTTCCAGAATCCTGCAATTTATTATGCACTCCCTTGCATTGGTTGCCCTCTTAAGATGCATTACCTAACCCATCTTTGGATTGAATTCCATTGTCACTTTTCTGGTTACCTGACCAATCCATTGGTTTCTTCCTGCAGCTGACAGCTTTCTTGCTCATTATTGATATACATCCAAATGCTGTATCATGACTGTTAATTTGCTGTAAATTACTTCACTACGTCCTCTACATACAAATCTAAATCTATGTATCTGTATCCAAAAAAACCCAATCAACCACCCCGCTTTGCTTCCTTGCCAATAACATAATTTGGATCCAAATTTCTTCTTGCCGTAGTATCTCATGGGGTATTAAAATTAAACAATAGTGGAAATGCATCTGCACTAAAAACTTAATCACAAATTCAGCCTTCTTTTATACAAGGCGATGGCCTAGTGGTATTATAGCAAGACTATTAATCCAGAAACTCAGCTAATGTTCTGGGGACACAGGGTTCAAATCCCGCCATGGCAGATGGTAAAATTTGGTTAAAAAATATCTGGAATTAAGATTGTCAGGAAAAACCCATCTGGCTCACTAATGCCCTTCAGGGAATGAAATCTGCCATCCTCACCTGGTCTGGCCTACATGTCTCCATGCCCAAAGCAATGTGGGTGACTGTCAGCTGCCCTCAGAAATGGTGTACCAAGCCATTCAGTTGTATCAATTGTGAATGAAGCCTCAATAAAGAAATGAAACCGATGGACTACCTGGCATTGACCATAGGCACTGGAAATGACAAAGGCAAAAACAGCCCTGTTGACACTGCCAAGCCCTCTTCACTATCATCTGGGAGCTAGTGCCAAAATTGGGAGAGCTGCCTCACAGTCTAGTTAAGCAGCAGCCTGACACAGTCATGGCCACAAAATCTACCAACAGATCTACCAACTCAAGACTGTGCATGCATGAGGTGCTGTGGGCCATCAACAGCAGTAGAAATGTACTCCAGCACAATATGCAACCTCATGGCCCAACATATCCCGCATTCTAATGACGACCATGAACCCAGTGTCGATTGTCGGAAAAACCTATCTGGTTCACTAATGTCCTTTAGGGAAGGAAACTGCCATCCTTACCTGGTCTGGCCTACATGTGACTCCAGACCCACAGCACAGCAATGTGGTTGACTCTGAACTGCCCTCTGGGCAATTAGGGATGGGCAAGAAATGCTGCCTGGTCAGCAACACCCTCATCCTGTGAATGAATAATAAAAAAAATTCAATCACCATCAAGCCAGGCGATCAACCCTGGTTAAGTGAAGAGTGCAGGAGGGCATGTCAGGTGCAACACCAGGAATACCTAAAAATTAGGTGTCAACCTGGTGAAGCTACCAAGCATGATGACTTGCGTGCCAAACAGCATAAGCAATACATGATAGACAAAGCTAAGCGATCCCACAACTATTGGATCAAATCTAAGCTCTGCAATCTTGCCACATCCAGTTGTGAATGGTGGTTCCACAAATATCCCCATTCTCAATTATGAAAGAGCCCAGCACATCAGTGCAAAAAATAAGGCTAAAGCATTCATAGCAATCTTCAGCTAGAACTGCCAAGTATGTGATCCATCTGAACTTCCTCCAGTGGTCCCCAGCATCACAGATACCAATTCGTTTCACTCCACGTGATATCAAAAAATAGTTGGAGGCACTGGATACTGCAAAGGCTATGGGCCCTGACAACCTTCCATTGTACCGAACTTGCCGCTCCCCTAGTCAAGCTCTTCCAATACAGGTACAATATGAGCATTGACCTGACAATATGGTCAATTGCCCAGTTTTGCCCTGTACACAAAAAGTAGGACACATCCAACCCGGCCAATTGAGTTTACTAGCAATCTTCAGTAAAGTGATGGAAGGTATAACTAACAGTGCTATCAAACAGCAATAACCTACTCATTGTCACTTGGGTTTGAGTTCCACCAGGGCCACTCAGCTGCTGGCCTCATTGCAGCCTTGATTCAAAAATTGTCAAACGAGCTGAATTTCAGAAGTGAGGTGAGAGTGACAGCCCTTGACATTGTGGCCACACTTGACCAAGTGTGGCATCAAGGAGTCCTAGCAAAAACGAATCGAGGGGACAAAATCTTTAATGGTTGGAGTCATACCTGGTACATTGGTTGTTGGAGGTTTTTCATTCTTAGCTCCAGGACATCTCTGCAGGAGTTTCTCAAGGTAGTGTCTTAGGCCCAACCATCTTCACCTGCTTCATCAAGTGACCTTCTTCCATTATAAGATCAGAAGTAGGGATGTTCGCCGATGATTGCACAATGTTTAGCACCACTCGCAACTCCTCAGATATTGAAGCAGTCCATGTTCAAGTGCACCAACATCTGGACAATTCCCAGACTTGGGCTGACAAGTGGCAAGTTACATTCTCATCACACAAGTGCCAGGCAATTACCATTTCCAATAGAGTCATAGTCATAGAGCCATACAGAAAGGAAGCAGACCTTTCGGTCCAACCCGTCCATGCTGACCAGGTATTCCAAATATAACTGGTCCCATTTGCCTGCATTTGATCTATATCCCTCTGAACCTTTCCTATTCGTATACCTGTACAAATGTCTTTTAAATGTTGTAATTGTACCCGCCCCTCTACCACTTCCTCTGGCAGCTGATTCTGTAAACGCAGCACCCTCTGTGAAAATGTTGCCCCTCAGATCCTTTTTAAAACTATTCCCTCTCACCTTAACATTTTGCCCTGTAGTTTTGGACTCCCCGCCCTTGGAAAAAGACCTTGGCTTTTCACCTTATCAATGCCCCTCATAATTTTGTAAACTTCAATGAGGTTTCCCCCCCCACCAACCCAGTCTCGATGCTCTAGGAAAGAGTGTCCCAGCCTATCCAACCTCTCCCTATATCGCAAATCCTGCAGTCTTGGCAACATTCTCAAACTTTTTCTGTATCCTTTCTAGTCTTGTACAGCACAATATGACGCCCCAAATCCTATGCACAATGCTCTGACCAATGAAGGCAAGCATGCTGAATGCCTTCTTAACCACCCTGTCTGCCTGTGATGCAACTTTCAAAGAACTATGTACCTGAACTCCGAGGTCACTCTGTTCAACAACACTACCCAGGATTCTACCATTAACTGTATAAGTCCTGCCCTTGTTTGTTTTTCCAATATGCAATACCTTGAATTTATCCAAATTAAACTCCATCTGCCACTCCTCAGCCCATTGGCCCAATTGATAAGATCCCTTTGTAATCTTATATAACCTTCTTCACTGTCAACAATACTACCAACTTTGGTGTCATCCGCAACTTACTAACTACAGCTCCCGAAATTCTCTTCCAACTCGTTTATATAATGACAAACAAAAGTGGACCCAGCATCAATTCCTGTGGAACACTGCTAGTCACAGGCCTCCAGTCTGAAAAACACCATCCACCACCACTCTGTGTCCTACCATCAAGCCTCCACCACCGTGTCTACATGCGAATCTAACCACTGCTCCTTGACATTCAATGGTGTTATCATCACTGAACTCCCCACTGTCACCATCCTGGTGGTTACCATTGACCAAAAACTCAACTGAACACGCTACATGAACACGGTGGCAACAAGACCGGGTCAGATACTATGGTGCGTAATTCACCTCCTGACTCCAGGAAGCCTGTCCACCATCTACAAGGCACGAATTAGGAGTGTGATGAAATACTGTCCATCTGCCTGGAGTGGTGCAGCTCCAAGAACACTCAAGAAACTTGGTAATATCCAGGATAAAGCACCCATTTGAAAAGCACCACATCCACAAACATCCACTCCTTCCACCACCAGCACTCAGTAGCAGCAGTAGGTAGTACACAATCAAATCAGTGTGTACTATCTACAAGGCGCATTTCAGGAATTCTCCAAAGATCCTTAGTCAGCAACTTCTAAACTCACAACTACTTCCATCTAGAAGGACAAGGGCAGCAGAAACAAGGGAACACCATTATCTGCAAGGTCTCCTTCAAGCCATTCACTTCCTGACTTGGAAATATATCACTGTTCCTTCACTGTCTCTGGGTCAAAATCCTGGAATTCCCTTCCTAAGGGCATTGTGGGTCTACCTCCAGCACATGGACTGCAAGAAAGTAGCACACCACCACCTTCTCAAGGGCAACTAGAGACAGGCAATAAACACCCACAAGCCACAAAATTGATTGAAAACAAACTCAGAACTGTACAGCACAAATTTGTCACAAACAGATGGAAAATCATTCTAATTCACATTTACATCACTTTGACTAAATTTCAGTATTAGAATGAAATTATTGTAATTAACCTTGCCTAAAAGCCCAAAATGTTTGATATTCCACATGTCAAGACAGACCCCTCCATTCCAGAGTTTTGTGTTTTCAAAAAGCTGCAGGTGTCATCTTTACCTTAAAAGGGGGCTTTGAATCAAAGGCATCGGATAGTACAACTTGAAGACAACAAACCATTAAAAAAACCTTGTATTTAAATAATTACAGACTATGCCATGATACTCGAAGTTGAAAATAAATTTAAACTTCATCAAAGGTTGTTTTCCCAGGACCCTGTTCAAATTTGGTCTTGGTTGGCATTTGTTTGACTTAGTTTAACAAAACACTTAAGAGTTTCTCATCTGATTTTCCTGTTGCAGTATTGATTCTAAAATTAAGGGCCTGCTGTTCCTTTAAAGGATGAAAAGCAATTCCTGGCTGTGAGAGAGTAGATGTCTTCATTTTCCTTCTTTCTGGGATGTTTTATTGTGATCTAGAAGTCTGTATTTCCTTGCCTGTTCAATATTAACATTTGTTATTATCCACCTGTAGAACTCAGTCAATTTGAAGTCAATAATGCTGGATCATATGTTGGAGTCAGAAGTGCCAAATGTAGCTAATGTGGAAGGAGAGGTATGTTAAAATAACACAACTTGTACCGAGGGACAACTATGTATGAATTTTTGTCACAAAATGAATACACGGTGCTTTTGAAATTGCATGGGAGCTTTCTTTTGCCCATCTTGCAGTTCACTTGATTGGCACCACATCCACTCCTTCCACCACCAACCCTCAGTTGCAGCAATGTGTACTATCTATAAGATGCACTGTAGAAATTCACCAAAGATCCTTAGACAGCACTTTCCAAACCCATGACCACTTCCATCCAGAAGGACAAGGGCAACAGATACATGGGAACACCACCATCTGCAAGTTCCCCTCCAAACTACTCACCATCCTGACCTGGAAATACGTCGCTGTTCTTTCATTGTTCCCTCCCTAAGGACATTGTGGATCTACGTACAGCATGTGGACTGCAGCAGTCCAAGGAGGCAATTTTTCAAGGGCAACTAGGAATGGGCAATAGTTACTGGTCAGCCAGCAATGCCCACATCTCACGAATGAATAAAAAAAATTGCATTAAAAATAATTGAATAAAAGGGTAAGATTTTAAATGTGAGGTGTTGAGAGACGGAGAAACAGTGCAGTTTGATGAGATGAGAATGATAAGTGGGTAGGATGTTTCAAGTTAGGAGGAGCAGAATTTTGGTTGAACTGTGCTATAACACAGTGGGCAGGGGAAAGTGGAATGTTGGATTTAGCCCAACAACCTCAGGTTAAAAAGTGGGAAAGAAGAGGGGTGTCTTCTTTGAAGGGGGTGCCCTGAACTGATCCCCCACAGCTGTCTCTTGTATCCCTGATCCCTCCCTGATCAAAATCCCCAGATGTATCTGAGTCTAGTATCCATGTTGCCTTCTCCCTTAGGGTTCCTTCCAGCAGTGTCCATTACTTGCTTATCGTATTGCTGATATACTCAGAATCAGAAAAGTCAGCAGCTCTCAAGGCTTGACGCTGCTGCCATATTACTGCATAACCATAGTAGCCCAAGCTAAACATAGACACGCACGGGAATTCCTAGAGGCATGGTTCTCAACCCATAATGCAATCAACAAACATATAGAATTGGACCCCCTATACAAATCCATACCGAACAGAACCGGAAATGACACTACTCACCATAACAGACCGGACAGAATATAAATTCCAAGCAGAGTCGAACAACATCGCTTCATCGGAGGCCTCACTGATGATGTTACCTAACACAGTGACGAAACGTCTGAACGAAAACAAGCCAGTTTGGCGAGCAAGTCAACAACCTCATAACTATTGCTGCACTGCAGCCTGTTTTCAACATGGCCACCTGAAGACTGAGTTGGTGAACAAGATGTCTTCTCCACCCTCCTTCCCCCTAACCCCAGCAAAATTGTGGTTTGCATCTTCATATTCAAGAAATGATATACTTCCATTGGAAGTGGTACAGTGAAGGTTCACTAGACTGATAACAAAAACAGTAAATTCTGGAAAAAAAATCAGCAGGTCTGGCAGCATCTGTTGGCAGAAAGCAGAAGTCAATGTTTCAGGTCCCTGTTTTTCTGATTTCCAGCATTTTAGAATTAGGATTAGAACTTCCTTTATTGTCACATGTACTCAAGTACAGGGGTACAGGAGTACAGTGAAAAGTCTGCAATGTTGCATCTCATCGTGCCATCTTAGGTACAGAGTACCTAGGTACAAATCTTAGATACAAAAAGATGCATAAAAAGAAGAGAAGTTGCATTACCTCACAGTGATTCATAGTATATGTTAGAAATAAGACATAATTAAAAGGATAAACATTACAGTCAGATAAACATTACATGGCAATAGCTCAGGGCAGGGGCTTCCACATGTGGTCTGATTGGCCTTGCAAGCTACTGACCGCCTGGCCCAGACCTAGTCCAACAACTGACCCAGCTCCACTCCGGCTCCGGTTCTCAGCCGCTTCACAATGCTCCATGCCTCCAGCCCGCTCCGCTCCGGCTCTCAGCTGCTCCAAGGTAAGTCTTCTTATTCGGAAAAAAAAGCACTTTAAAATCTTAGGAAAAAAGACAGGAAGAAAAGGTGTTGTTGGGTTTTAGTCTTTGACTAGATTGGTCCATGAGATGAGAGGGCCACCCTATGATGAGAGTCTGAATAAATTGAGCCTACCTTCTCTGGAATTTAGAAGACTGAGAGGTGATCTCATTGTAACATACAGAATTCTGAAGAAGCCTGATAGGGTGAGATTGACTGATTGTGCCTCCATATTTTAAATTTCCCAAACAGGAGAAACAATCTCAGGATAAGGAGAATTCCATTAGGAATGAGATGAGAGGGAATTACTTCACTCAAGAGGTTGTGAATTCTTGAATTTTTAGAGGTTGTGGATGCTCCCATGTTGAATATACTTTAGGCTGGGATAGAAAGGTGCTTTTCTGAAGAAACCAAGGAATGTGGGGAGCAGATGGGAAAGTGGAATTAAAGCATGGGATCAGCAGTGATTGTATTGATGATGGACCAGGTTCAACAGGTCACGTTGTCTATTCTTGCTGCTATTTATTGTGCCTTTCCATGCACCCATTTGTTCAGCATGCTCCCCAGTGTGCTACATGCTGGTCTGCTGCATGTCAAGCAATGAATGCATAATGCCTGATTGTATGGGAGTCCAAACCATTACAGTAATCAGGTGTTCGTAAAGTTTGTTCTTGTCTCCAATTGGTGGTATCAACTTCCATGATTCATTAATTGTGGGTATTAAATTAGTTGCTGCTTTTTCTTTCATTCTGAAAATCCATTTATTTTTAATCTGTCACAAATTAGTTTGTAAACTCAAAAACTATTTACTTACATTTCAGCAATATGCAGAAGCTAGGTCATACATTGTTCTGGAGTTTACTTTGTCAAAACCTTTGGTGCAGAAGCGACTCCGTGAGGAACTTGTTCAAAGGTAACATTGCAGTCTGAACAGAGCATATTCACAATTCTTTATGTGAAGATTAATACCTTATTGATGTACTTGCAATAATATATAAAATATTTTTCTTCATTCCACATTAGCTGCATACTGAGAGAGTACACCTTAGTTTGATATGTTCTGGGGGGCTGCAATCAACCAATCAGTATAAAAATTATCTATACCAACAATGATGCATGTGGATCTCTGACTCCCATGTCAGAACACACAACATTATGCTAGCTAGAGCACGTCAGTCTTGTATTTGGGGACATTATTTATGGTTTCTGTCTTAATTTATTGTGATTTGAACTTTTGTAAAAATTGAAACCAAACAATTAGATAACCAATCTCCAGTTATTTGCTGCTTAACTCATTATCCTCTCTACTCAGAGGACTCATTTCAAACTTAATAATTCTCTTTCTGCTGACAAATACAGAAAGACAGTATTTTGAGTTAGCTAATGTAAGCTGGATGCCAGTTGAGGCACTCCAATTGAGTTCAGTGTCTGTGGTCTGCAGAGGAGAGAATCTGTATCTGTTGCCTATTTTAATCACTAATCTTAGAACCTTACTGTTCTAATCCAGGCAGTAAATGTTAAAATTGGAGCATAATCTTGGCACACTTCAAACCAAATATATAGCTTCTGTTTGTTCCTACAAACCAGAGCACAATTAAATCCCAGTTAGCACTCACCACCTGAATACAAACATACCAATTAGCATACAATTAACATTTAGGGGAGATGTGCATGTTTAAATATTTTTTTCATTTAACCTATAGTTCTAATCAACCTGTTCAGGGATGTTATTACTTACCTCTGAGGCAAGTGAGGCTTGAACCCGAGCCTCTTGGTCAAGGGAGTAGGGACTCGACCACAGTGCCACAAAAGGGCACGTTTAAATATTGGCTGAGAACAGGATTGGCCTCACCTGTGACAACCCCGACTGTTGAGAATCCACTAATCATACTGTCAGGTCGCACATGAAGAGCGACCATCGCATCAAGATACCAACTCGTGACTGTGGAGCAATACAACAACAAATGTCGAACCTGATTACACAGGATTAAGGACAAATTGACAAAGAAGTGAATAATTGTTAGAATTTGAGTTATACCACAAAACCAAATGTTAAGTTTCTTTACTGTATCAGTGTAATCCCTCATGAATTAATTGTGTCTTTCTCTGTCTCTGACACACAGGGTTGCGGAGATAATTCCCCCTCGGCCATTATTCCCGCGTAGAACAGGTGGAGCAGATAAGGTGTGTAGAGGAACTGGAAAGGGATGGTGAAAAGTAATAATACAACTTTTCTTGGATCTTTGGAACAAAATAGCACATTTGATTTATTAACTCACTCCAGTATGAAATGTTTTCATTTGTCTCCCTAAGCTAAATGCATTATCTGGTTAATACAACAAATGACTTACTCCCGGGTTTTGTCAATGGAGGTTTTTAACAAAAATCCAATAAATGATGTTTGGATTTTTCCATAAAACAGTGATTTATTTCAGGGTACCTGGTTAGTGTTCCAATATTATGTGCCTGCAATAATATGATTTTTTAAAATTTTGTGATAGTAGCTCAATCAAATGGTCTTATTGCATAAACAGCTTAGGGGAATAATGCTGGCTGGGATGAAAAATTGGACAGCCTTTCAAAGAGCTGGCTTAGGCACCAACGGATTAAAAAATCTCCTCCTGCATGGTAACACTCTAATTCTATATAGCATTCCTTGTGATTTTTTTTCCTCTCTTGTACCCCTGGTGAAGGTTACAGAGCAAATGTGAGACATTTTAGGGTTTTTCAAACATATTATGGCAGCAACTGATTATTACAGAAACCTATTCGATAACCACCAAGGAGTGAATCTGATGGTGTTCCTTTTGTGCTTTGAGCCGATATATTCTATTCAGCAAATAGGGTATTAGGGTAAGCTTTATTCCAGTAAATGTTTATTAAATTTGAATGTTTATTCCATCTGTATGTTGCAGGCTGTAGCTGACTACCACACTCAGATAATCAGTGTGGCCAAAATCATCATGGATGAATATCAGGAAATGTTTGGACAAAAACTAACTGAAGGAAAACTCTCACAAGAATACCAGGACCAGGAGGAGCGCAAACATAAACTAATATTTGAGTTGAACACTTCAGGAAAATACTTCGCCTTTAAAGAACAGCTTAAGGTGGTGTACTGATTATGTGTCTAGCTTTTAATATTCAAAAATGGTATTGCTGAAAATCAAGCTCTTTATTTAGGATATTTAGGATATACTCCATCCATCCATATAATGGATGTTGTGGCAAACTGGTAATGTCACTGGACTAGTAAACTAGAGCCCCATATTAATGCTGTGGGGCCATGGGCTTGAATCCCACCATGGCAGATGATGAAATTTGAATTCAATAAAAAATCTGGAATAAAATGCTCACTGAATGGCAGGCATGTGACCGCAGTCAATTGTTATAAAAGCCCATCTGATTCACTAATGCCCTTTAGGAAAGGAAATCTGCTATTCTTACTTGGTCTAGCCTATATGTGATTCTTAATTGCTGTCTGTTAGGGATTGACGATGAATGCTGGCCTCGCCAGTGATGCTCATATTGCATTCATAGGGATGAGAAATTCTTTTGTGGATTGTAGATTGTGGATTTCGCTTCCCCAGAAAACAGTTGAGGCTTATTGAATTTATTCCAATTTGACAGACAAAGGAGTCAAGGATTGTGGAGACAGACAAAATGGAGCTGAGACTACAGATCAGCCATAACCATATTTGAATGGTAGAGTCGGTTTGAAGGACTGAATGGCCTAACCTTGTTCCTCAGTCTTATGTTCTTATGAAACCTCAATATTACCATGATTGTGACTGAAGGTTTCATTAAAAAATAATCTTTGAAATTATCATACATTTTACTATATTGAAGTGCCAATGTACTTAATAGATACATACTTTTCTGTGACTGTTCAATCGTTTGTGAAACATAGCATACAGATGAAAATGGAATTGCAAATAAATGTGAGAGTTGTGAATTTTTGTTAAGATCTAAATTTGAATGCCATACTTGACTGAGAACAGGATTTTTGCAATTCTGACCTAGCTCGCTTTTACTTGACTGGGGAATCTGATCAGTGTGCAGACCCATCTCGCAGCATTCCAAGGTGTCTCTTAGAGATGCATCAATGAAATGGAATTTTGTATATTCTAACCAATAAAAACATTAGTGAAATAATAACTTGATAATTTCCCAAATTGAAAGAAATGTCCTGGCTCAGATTTTTCTGTCAGTGACAAGAATAATGATGCTTAGCTCTGACCTTGAAGGAAGCTCCTGTAGTGATCTGGTGATCCCCATGACAAGGAGTTTATCTTTCCTGATACTTATTTGATTCTGCAGTCAATGTAGGGGATCTCCGACGTTCAACAAGCATTGGATTGTCAGACAGCAAACCGGGAAGTAAACTGAATTCATTATCCTTCACCTTACCATTTTACAGGGAGTAAAATAAAGAACAAACATACGCACAGGATTAAGGTAGAAGCAAAAATGTCATAAACTGACTTGTGAAATCCAAAAATGTATTGATTTTTATTATGATGGAGAAATTTGATACTCTACAAATATAAAATTAGGCTTTTGGCTTGTTGAGCAGTAATTAGGAAAAGATACAGTATTTAAATCCAATTATATCACATTCAACAAGGTGGTAATCTGCCTGGATTTTGCACAAAGATTAAATTCAGTTGAAAAGTGTAAAATCACATTAATTCAACCAATTTCTATCCCTGGGATTTAAAAGCATTCTTTGTGGAGAAGCACTGAAAAAACTGACAGCCAGCTCTGGTTTTTCACTCTTAACTGCAGGTGTGGATGCAATGTGTTTCTGTCAATTTCACAGATATAATGAATCAGTCTCACATTTATGATAAGGATGAACACATATTTGCACCATCATGACTACTGCAAAATATTTCTGGAGATAAAATGTAAAATTGTGAACTTCTAATTTCTTACTTCAGCATGCAGTTGTGAAAATTGTGCGTGAGAAGTACTTGCAGACTGTGGCCTTTGAGAATAGAGAACAGCTTCAGACATTCCTGAACGAGTTGTATATTTACTTGGTGGATCAGATGCACTGTTGCCTGAACAAGGTAAGGAATATCTGGAGAGGGCAAATAGCCTAGTGCAAACTTGGAGCATTGTTTGATTCTAATTCATCACTATTTCCTCATTCAAAAACCTGAGGCCATCCATTCTGTGTTAGCAAATTCTTGCAAAAACTCCATCAAGACTGCCATTGATCTTCTATGTGAAATAAGAGTCACCAATGCAATGATCCCATTTGCTCATTTAAAATATGGAGTTTAGTAGAAAAGAAGCTTTTGAGTTATTTGCAACCTCAATAGCAACAGCCAGTGAACTGACAGCTCGATAGTTGATGAGTGGGAGGGTGTTGGCAAGTGTGAGGTAAGTAGAAAGTAGGTCAATTGAAATGGCCTAGCAAGCTACTCAGTTATATCGAACTGCTAGAACATCTCAAAAAAATAATGTAACTGGATGGATCACCTGCCACCAAGGGAGCAGTCAAACTTAGCCCTGTCAACCCTTACTAATATCTGAGAGCTAGAGCTAAAACTGGGGGAGCTGTCTCACAGACTAGTCAAGCAACAAACAATTTACAGACCATGTCACGGACAACACAATCACTATCCCCGGGGATATCAGCAAATTTACAGCACAGTGGTATATAATTAGGAGGGAGCTGCCCTGAGAATCCTAAATGTTAACTCTGGTCTGCATGAAGTCAGAAGGCCAAACATGGGCAAAATACCCTTCTGCTGATGAATTAGTACTCCTCCAGTTTGGACGCCACTTGGAGGAAGCAGTGAGAATGTCAACTTTGCAGAATGTATTCTGTGTTGGGCACTTCTCTCTGTATCTTGTTCCCAGTTCCAAGCTGTTCAATTACTTGAGAACCAATCACACAGTTGCTGGTAGACAAAAAGTCTTTGTTATTGATAACTGGTCAATAGTCCAGATAAAAATCAACTTGTTGCCAACCAAAGCTCCACCTGAATGCAGAACCCTTGACTCCAGTTTGTCTGCAACCCAAACTTCAATTACTGATTGTTCAAGCAGCTGTTTAAACAATGCTTGTCATGAGTGTCGAGTTTCTTGATTTTCAAAACATGCCATAATCCTTGCAAAACACTAGTTTCCAACAGTTCTTTCTCATTTCAGTTCCCAGTTTTAGAAAGCAAAGAAATAAAAAGACACAGTATTTACATAACTCCTGCATGAATCTTTACCTTGAAATATTTTTATTATCCATGTGTGTCCTAAATAATCAGTTATACATATTTCTCAATCAAATCTATGTTTGTAACCAGTTATTGTTACATAACCACCATACATTTCTTGTAGAAACAATGTCTCATCTTCATATTGAGCATATTCCCGTGTTATGCGGCATTACCATCGTGCTAAATGAGATTGCTGTCAAACAAATCTAGCAACTAAAGACTGGGCATCCATAAAGCACTGTGGACCTGGAGCAGCAGAATTATATTCCAACACAATCTGCAACCTCATGATGTCTTACTTTAGCCATCAAAGCAGAGGATCAACCCCGGTGCAATGAAACATGCAAGGGGGCATGCCCCTCAAACAATCTGGTGAATCTACAACACTGGACTACAAGTGTGCCCAATAGCATAAGCTGTACGTGATAGATAGAGCTAAGTAATTCCATAAGACCATAACTCTTGATTCCCTTATGAATTAAACATCTGTCAATCTTAGCCTTGACAGCCTTCTGTGGTAAAGAATTCTACAATCAGTGGATCACATCTAAGCTGTGCAACCATGCTACCTCCAGTCAAGAATACTGTTGAATAACTAAACAACTCACTGGAGGAGAAGGCTCCACAAATATTTCCATCCTCAATGTTGGGGAGCCCAGTACATCAATGCAAAAGATAAAACTGAAGCATTTGCAACAATCCTCACCCAGAAGTGTCAAGTAGATGATCCATCTCAGCCTTCTCTGGAACTCACCAACATCACAGAAGCCAGTCTTCAGCCAATTGAATTCACCCCACATGTTATCTAGAAACTGCTGAAGGCACAGGATGCTGCAAAGGATATGGGCCCAAACACATTCCGGCAATAGTACAGAAGACTTGTGCCACATCAAGCTGTCCCCCTACAGCTACAACACTGGCATCTATGCGTCCACGTGGAAAACCGCCCTGTGTATTTGGATACACAAAAAGTATGATAAATCCAATCTGGTTAATTATTGCCCAATCAGTAGACTCTCAATTATTAGTAAAGTGATGGAAGGGGTCATCAACAGTGCTGTCAAACAGGACAAACAATAACCTACTCACTGATGCTTCGTTTGGGTTCTGATAGCTCCACTCAACTCCTGACCTCATTACGACTTTGGTTCAAGCATGAACAAAAGAGCTGAATTCCAGGGGTGAGGTGAGAGTGAATGCCATTGAAACACAAGGCACATTTGACAAAGAGTGGTATCAAGGAGCCCTAGCAAAACTAGGTCCAATAAAGTCATGAGGAAAACTCAGCACATTACTATCACTCCTAGCACAACGGAATATGATTATGGTTTTTGGAGGTCAGTCATCTCAGCCACAGCACATTTCTGCAGGGGATTTTTCAGGATAATGTGGAAACAGGCCATTCAGCCCATTGAGTCCACACCGACCCTCCAAAGAGCATCCCACCCAGACTCATCCACCTCCCCTATCCCTGTAACACTCCCATAGTCAACCCATCTAGTCTGCACATTCGGGCAATTTAGCATGGCCAATACACCTAGCCTGGACATCTTTGGACTGTGGGAGGAAACCGGAGCCCTAAAGGAAACCCATGCAGACACAGGAAGAATGTGCAAACTCCACACACGTAGTTGCCCGGGCTGGAATCGCATCCGGATCCTTGGTGCTGTGAGGCAGCAGTGCTAACCACTGAGCCACCGTGCTGCCCTATGCAGACATAGTCAATATCAGGCTAGGGCAGATAAGTGACAAAGTAACATTGGTGCCACACAAGTTCCAGACAATGAATGTCTCCAATAAGAGGGAACCTAACCATTGCCCCTTGACATTCAAGGATATTGTCATCAGCGAAACCTAACTGTCAACTTTCTAGGTGATGATTGACCAGAAACTGTATTGCTCTAGCTATATAAGTACGGTGGCTGCAAGAGGAGGGCAAATGCTAAGAATCCTGCAGAGAGCAATTCACCTCCTGACTCCCAAAACCTGTTCACCATTTACAAGGCACAAGTCAGGAGTGTAATGGAATGCGGTCCATCTACTGGATGAGTCTGGTTCCAAAAACACTGAAGGAGCTTGATACCATCCAAGACAAAGCAGCTCACCTAGTTAGAATGCTAAGAGAGAAAACAAGGAGTCCTGAGATACATCCTGGTCCAATCCATGAGATGAGCGCCTGTCCCTGTGCACAAAGTGTCCTGGCAGCAGCATTACAAGGGGAGATGCAGGTGCATTCCAAAGTGCAGGATTGAAGTGCAGAACTCAATTGTTAGTGGGTCTCAGATATGTCATGAGTGTCCTGAGAGGCTGGTACATATCCAATGCCAATGTCTGTGGATGGGTGGGTGTGGGAAGATGCTGTCCATACAGCACACCCTGAGATGTTAGTGACTTCTTTATAACATGGAGGTATGGAGGAGTAAGCAGTGAGCTAGAGCCACCAGGCAACTGCTCTGACTATTATGTTGGCAATTGTCGCCATCTAGTATCTAGCTGATTGGTAGGAGAATGATAAATTGCAGATCAACAAGGCAAGATTAAGTAGTAATCTCATTGTAATGCATGCAGGTGCTGCTCACTGGTGAGATCCTCATCTCACTATTTTCCCCATAATGTCAAAAAATCTGATTTCTGTGGATCTCACTCTATTTTCCCAACTGACTCACCTATGCCCACATCATTCAGGTGCTGGGGAATATTTCACGCCATGTTACTTTTCGGAGCAGTGAAATGGATACTTTGAGACAGTGTGCACCAAGCGTCTTTAAGTTAAGGAAAAACAGTCTTAGAACAGCTTTTGGATTGGGGTCCATCTGCAACTTATTGCACATCTGTAACTGCAGTGCAGTCAAAGACATCTAGAAGCCTGTAAATCAGAAGCACCTCTCACCATTTCTCTCTGTGAGTGAAAAAGACAACAAACTAAGAGACTCAAGAGAAAAATTTCAAATACAAGATGAGACCTAGATCTACCTGATCATATATTGAATTGAAGATCAACCATTGTTCTGCAGACAACATCAGGTCATCATGGCTAAGATCAGAAGAACTGTGAAAACTAATTCTCCATCTTTTTGATCTGGGCTTTGGTGTACAGAATTAGATTTTCCCTTTCTATATTTCTCGACTCCTAATATTTGTGTCAAATCATCTTTATTTTGTCTCTCTTATCTGTAAATTAATGTTTATGTGTTTGGGGTTTTAAAGGTGTAAGTTGCATTATAGTAGATTAGTAACCCATTTTTTGCTAGTTGTTAAATAATATTTGTTTACAACAAATACCTATTTTCCTGTTAATGACAAAACATGGTGTGGATTGCTTTTATCCTGAATATCAATCCATCTGGCAAATTGATCATCTTGTGTTTTAATTGGGCAGTTACACATTTGTAACAGTTTGTGGAATTGTGGAGCTCAATTATCGATGCGCCCTCCAAATTGAATTGTGATAGTAGTGTATATAAGTTGTATGTTTTTGCCTTTTATGTATAATAAACCTTGACATTCTCTTATTACAAGTACATTGACTCTTGTGAATATGTTCAGTGATGACCATCATGGTAAACAAATTACAAAACAAAACTTATGTTCTATGAAGACAGATTGTACTCAGTGATCTAACTTGTCTGGGATTACTATCAGCTGGGATCATAATAGTCAACAAGAGTCAGATCAGATCAAATCAAATCAAATCAAATCAAACCTAAAACAAGCTGAAACTTACAGTTGGGCACTTGAAAGCTGTCTCCTCTTTTAAGTGACAGATAACACGAACTTCTCACCTTCTTTATAGTTTTTATTATTTGTTCATGGAATGTGGGTGTCACGGGTTAGGCCAGCATTTATGGTCCATCCCTAATTGCCCGGAGGGCAGTGAAGAGTCAGCTACGTTGTTGTGTCTGGAGTTACACGTAGGCCAAAACTGCTAAGGATGGCAGTTTCCTTCTCTAAAAGATATTAGTGAACCAGTTCAGTTCTTCCCCAACAATCAACAATGGTTTAATGATCATCATTAGACTCTTAATTGCTGGTATTTATTGAATTTAAATTCCACCATTTACCATGGCAAGATTCAAATTTAGGTCCCCAGATCACCTGGGTCTCTGGATTAATAGTCCAGTGACATTAGCACTCGGCCTACAGTAATTTTGTTGCCCTATTCTCCTCACAATTATGACTTTTACAGTCTTCCTACCTCAACAAGTTTTGGCTTGTGACTCATAGGTCACTGAGTTTTATCACTATATGATCCTTAAATCATCAAACAGATTGTTGCTGAACATATACATTCATAGGGACCATATTTTTATCAGAACCTGTTCCACTGTCTGAAATTATTATCCTTTTAGACAGTGACATACCTATGCATGTCTCTGCTGAAGTATATTCCTGCATAACTGATAAAGCAAACTATTTAAAATGTGATATTTCTGATTGCTGAAATGTTTGTTTTGGAGGATAACCCTGATTTTACAGGCTTCAAACAGGCTTTGTGCAGAAATACATACTTCTTTCTTAGGCTAACCAACTTAATACATTAATTTTGTGTAAGATAGAGGTAATCATTTTGCATCAGTTCTGTAAAGAGCTGCAAAAATTAATGTACATTTGCCAGCAGTGAATGTACAGTTCAGAAACCACGTAGTTGTTTAATTCTTCACATATGATGTTGTGAAAGCTGTGATATTTAAATTCTGCATTTTGCTGACATTGTGAATAGAACTTTAAATATTTTGTGATTTACGTCTAAATTACGTCCTTATTTTTCACCCAGATGTTGCAAGTGGATCCCCCAGATCCTATTCCAGAATCATTCCTTGGTTCTGCACAGTTAAAACACTTTGCTAAAGAAGCTGAAATGAACAAGGACTTTGAACTAGCAAGTAAATACCATCAAGAGGTGAGGGCTTGTGTAGATCAACTGATAGTTAAGACAATTTATAAATCAATATTCCTCTCATTGTTTCTTGAGAATAGTTTTGTCATTGTCACTTCCTTAGTCGTCACTTTGCCTGTTGTGCGTAATTTGTATTACGCAGGTACACACTCAGTGCAAATGAGGACACTACATAAATAAGGGACAATGAGGGATACTCAATCCTCAAGCCTGCTCCACCACTCAATAAGATCATAGCTGATTTGAATTTTAACCACAATTCTAGATGCTTGTATATTCCCGATATTCTTTCAGCCCCTTGGCAATCAAGAATTCAGGACCAGCATGTTCCTGTGAAAATGAAGGAAAAGAGTACCAAGGAACCTTGGATGACAAAAGAAATTGAGAGCTTGTCAAAAAGAAAAGGAGGCATATGTAAGGCTTAGGAAACTGGAGACAGACAGAGCCCTTGAAGAATACAAGATAGTGGGAAAGAACTCAAGTGAGGAATTAGGAGGACTAAAAGGGGCCATGGCAAACAGGATTAAGGAAAATCCCCAAGGTTTATAATGCATATTATAAGGAGCAAGAGGGTAGCCAGGGAAAAGGTAGAGCCAATCAAGGACGAAGGAAGGAGTTTATGCATGGTGCTGGAGGACGTGGCTGAGGTCCTTAATGAATACTGTGCATAGGTATTCACAAAGGAAAAGGATGTGGGGCATGTCAGTATAAAAAAGGATGCGGTGTTGGATCTTTTAAAAAGCACTAAGGTCAATAAGTCCCCAGGACCTGATGGGATCTATCCCACAATGCTGAGGGAGGCAGGTGAGGAAATTGCTGAGACCTTGCACGAAATATTTTTAATCCCTAGTCACAGGAGAGGTGCCAGAGGATTGGATAATAGCCAAAGGTTCTTAAGTAGATTTGTAGCTCGGATCGTAGATGCTGTGGTTGGTTTGCTCGCCGAGCTGGTTCACTAGTTCACAGAAATTTCATTACCCTTCTGGGTAACATCATCACTGCAGCCTCTGGTAAAGCGCTAATGTGTTTTCCTGCCTGATATTTAAACACTAGGGTCCGTTGGAGTTGATTACCTCATTTCCAGTTTTCCTTCGCAGTGGTGTATATATGGTCTAATTCTACATGTTTACTGATGGCCTTCTTGGTGGAGAACCAGGCCTCTAGAAATTCCTGTGCTTGTTTCTGTTTGGCTTGTCCTAGGATCCTGATGTTGTCCCAATCGAACTGGTGGTTCTCCTTATCTGTGTGAATGGAACCGAGTGAGTATTGGTCATGACTTTTTGTCGCTAGTTGGTGTTCATGTATTCCTGTGGCCAGTTTCCTTCCTGTCTGTCCAATGTAATGTTTGTCGCAGTCCTTGCATGGAATCTTGTATAACACGTTGGTTCTGCCCTTAGTGGGTAAGGGTCTTTAGTTCAAGTTAGCAGTTGACGTAGGTTTGTGCGCCACTGTGATGGCCAATGATTGTAGAAGTCATTTGGTCAGTTTGGATATGTTCTTGATGTACGGTAACGTGACGAGTCTGTCAGGGCATACTGTATCTTCCTATTGTTGTTTGTGTGATAGGCATTGTCGGACCCAGCTGTTCGAGTATCCGTTGTCCTTAAATACTTGGTAGAGGTATTCTTCTTTGTTTTAGCGTAGTTCCGAGTTGTTGCAGTGTGTTGCCGCTCATTTAAATAGTGTTTTCATGCAACTTTGTTTGTGGGTGTTGGGGTAATTACTGTCGAAACTCAGGACTTGATCCGTGTGTATGGCCTTTCTGTGTACCTTCATCAGAAATTCCCCGTTGGCCCTGCGTTCTACCATGACATCTAGGAATGGGAGCAAGGCTGCCAAAATCATCAAAGACCCATCCCACCCTGGTCATGTTCTCCTACAACCTCTTCAGCAGGCAAAAGAGACAGAAACTTGAACACACTCACTAGCAGGTTCAAGAACAGCTTCTTCGCTGCCATTATTAGACTGATGAATGGATTCTCTGACTTCAAGTAATATCGATCTTGTTAATGTTGACCTTGTCTAGTGCATGCCCTGTGTGGTGTAACTGTATGCCTCTGTCCAAGTTTTTTTTCACCCTATGATCTATACATCCTTGCTTATTATGATCTGCCTGTGCTGCTCATAAACAAAGTTTTTCACTGTACTTGGGTGCAAATGATGATAAATCAAATCAAATCAAATCAACATTGTTCCTTTGTTTAAGAAAGACAACAGGGATAATCTGGGAAATTACATGCCAGTGAGCCTTACATCAGTAGTAGGGAAATTATTGGAGAAGATTCTTAGTGGAATCTTGGAAATCATTTGGAAAAATGTGGACTTATTAATGATAGGTAGCATGGCTTTGTGCCAGGAAGGTCACGTCTCACAAACTTGATTGAGTTTTTTGGAAATCATGTTGCAGTTGTATAGAAATTTAGTTAAGTAACATTTGGAATGTCATGTACAGTTCAAGTCATTACGTTACCAGAAGGATGTGGAGGCTTCGGAGAGGATACAGAAAAGGTTTACCACGAGATAGCAAGATTTGCAGATGCTGGAGTCAGAGACAACATAGTGTGGAGCTGGAGGAACATAGCAGATCAGGCAGCATCAGAGGAGTGGGAAAGTTGAAGTTTCAGGTCAGGACCCTTCTTCAGAAATGGGGAGAGGGTAGGGAGCTGGGAAATAAATAGAGGGAGGAGGGGCGAGGCTGGGGAAAGGTAGGTGGGATGTGGGTAGGGCTTGGTGGGGTTTGGTCAGTGGGATGGATTGCCTGGTTTGGACGGTATTGGCTATGAAAAGAGATCGGACAAACTTAGTTTGTTGTCACTTGAACATTGATGGATGGGGACAGCATCCTGATAGAAGTTTGCAAAATATGAGAGGTATGGATAGAATGAATTCTTGGAGTATTTTTCCCAGAGTAGAAATATCAATTACAAGGGGACACTGGTTTAAGGTAAAAGGGAGTAAGTTTAAAGGAGATGTGAGAGGCAAGTGTTTTTACACAGAGGGTGGTAAGTGCCTGGAATACGCTGCCAGAGGAGGTTGTTGAGGCAGATACAATAGCAACGTTTAAGAAGCATCTTAAGGCAGGCAATAGAGGGATATTGACTGTGGAGAGGCAAAACGTTTTTAGTTTAGAAAGGCATCATGTGTCAACACAATCTTGGTGCGCTGAAGAGCCTGTTCCTATGGTGTACTGTTCTTTGTTCGTTTTTCTTTGAATTTGTCCACATCTGCCTTAAAAAAACTAAAGATTCCCTTTTGAGGAAGGGAATGTCAAAACTCTCAACCCCTTGTTTCCTCATCTCTTCTTTACATGGGCAATCTGTGAATTTAATCTGTGACCCCAGTTCTAGATTCTTCAGCAAGAGGAAACATCCTTTCAACATCCACCTAGTCAAGTCCCCTCAATATCTTATCACTATGGGGAGTGAGACAACATTTAAGAGGATTCCTGGTGCTACCAAGACCACAAAGGCAGCAACAACAGAAAAGAGGCCAGTAAAATGAAAATAACCAGGAGATCTTTTAATAATAAATGTAATGGGAGCAGAAATGTTCCTGTCAACAGCATCTTAAATCTTTTATCCTGCCTACCTGAGACAGTGATCCATTTGTCAGCGAACTTCATGTTTATCTAAAGGTGGTGTCACCCTCGGATCAGTGTGTACCATTGGGCCTTAGTTGTATTAGCCAGGGCATTCTGAGCAAAAGTCTATAAATCCCTGTAGTTTACTTTCAAGAGAATTGATAAAAGGGCAATATGACATTGTGATTAATTGATGGACTAATGAGAAAAAGAAGTATAAATATTAAGAATGATGGCGTGGAAACATGAGGAAGGTGGCTGTCTTGATCATATGAGCCTGCTCTGCCATTCTAGAATGTTGCTGATCATACTTCAGTGCTGCTGTCCTGCATTGTCCTCATATCCCTTGATGTCATTGGTATTTAGAAATCTATTGATCACTAATTTGAACATACTCAATGACTAAGACTCCACAGCCCTATGAGGTGATGAATTCCAAAGATTCACTACCCTCTGAGTTCCATAATTCCCCATAATCTGAGGCTGTGTACCTAAATTCTCTACTTTTCATCACCTACCCTGTGCGGCCCTTTAAAACTTTTGTATGCTTCATTGAATTCACCTCTCATTCTTCTAAACTCCAGAAAATATAGGCTCAGTATCCTGAATTCCCCTCATGGGACAATCCTAGGGACTAGTCTGGTGAATCTTTCCTACACCCTCTCCATGGAAATTATATCCTTCCTTCACTAAGGGTTCCAAAACTACACACAAAACCCCAGTGTGGTCTCACAGAGATTCTATATAATTTGATGCAAGACATCCTTACTACTGTACTCAAACACTTCTGTGATAAAGGCTATCATACCAATTACCTTCCTAATTGATTGCGGCGCATGCATGTTAACTTTTAGTTACTTGAACAAGGGCACTCAAGACCCTTTGCACAGCAACACTTCCCAGTCTCTCAACATTTAAGAAATACTCTGCACCTCCATTTGTCCTACCAAAGTGGATTACTTCACACTTTTCCCATATTGTATTCCATCTGCCATGTTCTTGCCCATTCGCTCAGTCTCTCCAAGTCCGTTTGAGCTCTCTTTGCATCTTCATTCCAACACACATTCTCACCTGGTTTTATATTATCTGCAAACATTGAAATATTGTGCCCGCATCCAAATTATATACAGATGTAGTGAACAGCTGGGGCCCAGTACTGATGCTTGTGGTGCCCCTTTAAGTCACAGTCTGTCAACCTAGGAGTGACCATTTACTCTTGCTCTCTGTTTTCTTTCTGTTAATTAATTCCTAAACTATACTACTATACCCTGTGTTCTAGTTTTGTCTGCTAGCTTGTTTTTGGGACTTTATCGAGAGCATACTGAAAATCAAAAAACAACACACTTTACTGTTTCCTACTTCTCTACTCTCCCAAAGAATCTCCAACAGGTTTTTTAAATATAACTTGCACTTTGTAACACAAATCAGACTGTCTAATCAGATCATTATTTTCTAAGTGTCCAGTTATCACATCCTTTATAATAGATTCTAGTATTTCCCCTAGTACTGAAGCCAAGCTAAAAAATCTGTAGTTTTATCCTTTCTTAAATAGTAATATTGGTAACTTTCCAATCTGCAGACAATTTTCCATGATTTTGTCAAATTTTGAAAGATGAGCGCCAATGCCTCCACTATCTCGATAATCATCTCTTTCAACACTCTAAGGTGTAGATCATCTGATTTGACAATTTTCATTCCTATTAATTTCTTCAATATTACTTTTCTGTTGATATTAATTTCTTTCTGCTCCTCATTCTAACTTATCCCTTCTGGGATGTCTCTTACTTCTGGGAAATTTCTTGCCTCTTCCTCAAGGCACAAAGTACTTATTTGATTCTCTGCATTTCTCTATTTCACATTACAAATTTCGTGCCTCTGCATGTGATGAACTCACATTTTTCTTTCCTGATCTTTTTCTTTAAATATACCTTTTACAAGCTTTTGCAGTCTGTTTTTGTGTTTCTTGCTAATTTACATTCATTTTCTTTTTCCCCTTTACTGTTTCCTTGATCTGCCTTTGCTGATTCTAAAGTGATTCCAATCCTCAAGCTTTCTATATTTTTGGCAACTTTATAAACCTCATCCCCTTAAGCTAATACAACCTTTGACTTCCTTTATTAGCCAGAGTTGACTCACTTCTGTGGTTAGGATTTCATGCCTTAGAGGAATGTATATTTGTTGTAAATCATGTATTAACTATTTGAATTTTAATAGTTGCCTGTCCACCCTATGACTTTTTCAAATAAAAATGATCTTTAATGATCTTAAACAGTCCTTAGTAAAGACCTCTCTTCTGAATATTAGCCTGTGCCCTAATACAGTGGGCAACTCAATATGTGCAGATGCTGCAGGTTTGTATGTGAGTCATTCTGCATCTGATCTGCAACAGTGCAATGAGAGGAAATACATGGGATGTAGGTCCATCTTTTTCTCGGACAATTTCAGGAAAGGGCCATAAAGCTGTCGTTAGGTTCCTGATTAGAACATTCAAGTAACCTGTCTGAGGGGCCAACACGAGAGATAATTTAAAGCACCTGAACCAAAATAATATTGGAAATGTTTCCGATGCTGGTTGGACATGGGACATTGGCCCCTCGGTTGGACTTCTTTGTTTTCTACTCGGACAACATGCATACTAAGGTCCATTTCCACTCATTGACTTTAACAGTGAGAAGCTGAAGATTTTGTCATATTGTGAGATAAGTCAGTGACTCATACCCCAACAATGCCTTTTTTTTACAGAGATTAGCACGCGACAGGAATAATGCTGATCACTGGTTTGACTATGGTACTTTCTACCTCATGTTAAAGGACCACAGCAAAGCAGAGGAGTGCTTCCGTGAGGCTGTTGCTGTAAACCAGGAGCATATATCCAGGTCAGAATCACACGTGTTCTTCATGCCATATTCACTGATTTTGTTTCAGACTGCCTAATTAGCTTATCTATGCTGACAAAAAAGTGTAGCTTCACTTTTGATTTTGGGCCTTCATTTTGGTTTTGAGCATGTATAAAGTCGGTGGTTGGTACAGCCATTACACAGTCTGCTCAATTTTGTAGTTGGAAGGCAAGAATCATTTTGATAGTTGGGGCTCATTAAAATTATGCAAGTGGACAGTCAGGGCAATTCGCGCTGCTCTTCTGACAATTTGAGCTTTTCTTCCGCACAGATATTGGCAGGGTTTGGTGAATCACACCACCTTGAAGACGCTGCGCTAGACACTCAGATCTTTCCAAGCACCAGTACAGAGATCAGCACATTAGCTAGTTGCTAGTGAGTTAGAGGGCCCTGTAAAAGATGATCCCTCAGCCTTTGAGTGAGGGCAGATTCAAATGGTAAACTGAAAGAAAGGTCTTGCTGAAGAGTAACATTGGATTTTAGTTAAGCTGGATTTGGAAGTGTTGACTTAAGGGATTTTGGCTTCAAAAGAAAATAGTTGAAGTGCACTAACAGTTGCTCAAAGCACTTGACTACTTGCGTGGGACTGATGCTGAGATGTCAATATGTATGGATGAGATCTCTTGCATACATGGCATCAAAGTTCCTAGGCAAAGCGTGGGTGCAGCAACCAGACACTCTTTGTGGAAACCTATGGCACTGGTACTAATAGGCTCTTGGCTTCACTATCACCTGTACTGGACTGATGGGATGTCCTAATAAATAAGATATTCTTAGACACTGTGTTGTCTACTCACCATCAGATCACAGGAATACTGAAACCTGTAGCAGGGACCAGTTTAATGACTGTGGAACATGTTGCCCTCACAGAATGACAACATGACTTGTACCCATTCGACAGATTCCTGCTCTAATATCAGAAAGTTTTCTCTGCCAGACTCCCCTACCAGTGCCAATAAACTGCAATCTGAAGCTGGACACTCATAGGCTTAGCTTTTGGAAGTCACCCACTGCAAGCATCTCAAGAGACCCCATGTAGCGAGCCTTCTGATTTGCTGTGCAGAATCATAAGAGGAGAGGGAATGGAGGCAAATAGAATGTGAAGTCATCATGATTGATGATAGAAAAGTAGACAGAGCTGCACGTTACAGATGAAAACCCTTGCAAAGACAACAGGTTTACTCGTAGGTATTCTCATGATATAGTGTATTGAGCCAATGACTTCCTGGAGAAGGAGGGATGCATGCAGTTTGTGTGAACCCCAAGAACCTTATCTTGTTTCTGAAATTTGGTAAATTCTGAAACTGGAAAATTGATATAAATGTTTGCATTGTTCACTTGTTAAAGCAAGCATTGAAGTGCAGCTGATTAATGGGTAATGGGCATTGCTGCAAAGGGCACCATATGTTTCCCTTCCCTAATTGCCTTCAGACGCTAGTGGGGAGCTGCCTTGGTCCACTACAGACCATGTTTTGACGGTACACTCACAGTGCTGTTAGGGACAGAGTTTCAGGATTTTGACGCAGCACTATGTTTCCAAGTCAAGATGGTATGTGATTTAGAGGGGAATGTGGAGGTGGTGGTGTTCCCATGTATCTGTTTCCCCTGTCTTTCCAGTTGGTAGGGCTTGCAAGTTTGGAATGTGCTGCTAAAGAAACAGTAGTGAGATGCCATTAAATCTGTAATGGAGATGCTTAGATTCTCCCTTGTTAAATCCCAAATGGAATGGAACTGGAGGAAAAATATTGAGGGCAGTAGTTATTACACTTTAACAAATAATGCATAACAGACTTTGGTATTAGAGATAGTAAGAACTGCCGATGCTGGAGTCTGAGATAACACAGTGTGGAGCTGGAAGAACACAGCAGGCCAGGCAGCATCAAAGGAGCAGGAAAGCTGACATTTCGGGTCGGGACCCTTCTTCAGAAATGGGGGAGGAGAAGGGGGCTCTGAAATCCAAAGAGATTACCAGAGGTTTGCAGTGGGAGAGAGATCCACTGACCTCAGTGGATCTCTCTCCCACTGCACCTCAGTTGGTCTCTCTCCCACTGCACCTCAGTGGATCTCTCTCCCACTGCACCTCAGTGGATCTCTTTCCCTCTCCAACACTCTGGAAATCTCTTTGGATTTCAGAGCCCCCTTCCCCTCCCCCATTTCTGAAGAAGGGTTTCAAGCCGAACCGTCAGCTTTCCTGCACCTATGATGCTGCCTGGCCTGCTGTGTTCCTCCAGCTACAGACTTTGGTATTAGTTTTGAGGTGTTTTGAATCCGTGGCACTCTTGCTGGAGAAGTGCATTTATGTATCTCTTCAAAAACTGGAACAAGATTATGCTGAAACAAACATCCTATTGGGAGCTAAAGGATATCTCCAAACTTCCCTTATCATCTAGACTCTGAAGCTCTGTTTCTGTCACACATGTTCCTTCCATCTGTTATTGCTGCTTCTCTTTCTCTTGCCAGCATTGAGGAACCAAAAGGAATTATTTCTTTTAATGTAGGTAGTACCTGGTGGCATCTTTTAGGATTTGCAGAAACGTCAGTTTTTTAAAAAATGTGTTTCTGCAACCAATTCCTCTAGAGAAATGCAAGTAAGGTGTCAACTAAACGATTCCAGCAATCAAAGTGACGATGAGTGAGTAATGAGGAGCGTTCCAACTCCGTATGTGACAGATGAAAGACTGAAGGCCTAGTATTATGTCTTTATTAATTCATCATATGTAGATGTGAGAGCACATTGTATTTCACTTCAGAATGCTGTAGTCCCAACTATCCTTAGCTGCTTTATCAATGAAATTCTTTCCATAATAGTGGGAGTGTTTGCTGATAATTGCACAATGTTCAGTTCCATTTGTGACATTGCAGATACTGAAACAGTCTAGTCCAAGGGTCCAACTACAGCAAAACCTAGACAATATTCAGGTTTGGGTTGACATGTGGTACAAATGCTATTTGCCACTTAAGTGCCAACATTGACCATCTCCACCAAGAGTCAATTAAGGACAGGTCACAGATTGTGAATTCTCCCATCAAGTAAATCACCTCCTAACTCCACAAATCCTCTTCATCATCTGCAAGGCACAAGGCATAAGTAAAGAATATGTTGGAATACTCCCCACTTGCCCAGATGGGTACACATCCACAGCATTCAAGAAGCTTTACACCATCCAAGACAAAGAGTCCCACTTGATTAGCACCACATCCTCCATCTTCAACATTCATTCCTTCCACCACCAACACACAGTGACAACTGTGTATACCATCTACAAGTTGCAATGCAGCAACTCACCATGGTTCCTTTGGCATTGACCTTTTCCACTTACAAGGACTAAGGCAGCAAACACATATAAAAACAACCATCTACAAACGCCCTCTGAGTCATGCACCATGAGACCTCAAACTATATTGCTGTTCTTTCACTGTAACTGGGTCAAATTCCTGGAAGACCCGCTTTAGACACACACACACACACTTTCTCTCTCTCACTCTATCATGACGTGAATGAATTGGAAGTCTCATGTTTCAAGCAATACACAAAATGTGATTTAAAAATTGTTACGATGTTTGAATAGACTTTATAGCTTTTGTTATAATTTCTGTGTTTTACTGAATCCTGTGATTTTTATTTCCAGCCTTATTCTGTGTGGTATTCTAGCATGTATGAATGAGCATTTTGAAGACGCTGACAGCTTTTTTGAGAGTGCCAGGTGCTTTGAACCAAATAGTGTGTTAGCTTGGACAATCCAGGGTAAGAATCAATTCATAATCCAATTCACTGTCATTTCTCTTAAAGCAGTGATAAACATAGCATAAGAAACAGTCTGATTCTTAACATCATTATAATCTTTTTCCTTATGATTGTGCTTTAATTTGTACAGTAAAAAGGTTCTTCCTTATGTAATTACAGTATAGTTAACACTGTAGGTTGAGTTCAAAATAAAGGACTCTGATCGATTTCCACTACATCTCTTTCCTTCAATTATTGTAAGTCACATTTAAAAGTTTTTTGGTGTGATTCATATGGACTAACCAGGCTGACAACTTAATCCTCTTTCAGAATGCGCTGCACAGAATTGCTAAAGCTCGATAAAATTTATTCAGTTTTTTTCCCAGTTTGTTCACAAGTTGCACATTTAGATAATAAATTCATATATGCACGCAATATTCGACAAACTATACATACACATCTATACATGTGTTAATGAAAGAGACCTGAATTTTGAAGCATTGTTCAAACTGCAATGTCAACTAATCGGATGAATTTGGGTTCATAGCTTAGTTGAAGTAGTTCATTTGAAAACAGTTTTGGCTTTCTCATTTTGAATAAATGGAATCATAGGTTTTCAACCTCAGTTGTTTAAAAGTCATGACCTTCTAGATTATATTGGAAAATGATAATTGTGGGAAAGCTTCTAAACCTAAAGTTTGGAAAAAATGATAATATTGGAGTTAAGATCACCCAACTCAACCGCATATATTTACAATACATGCCTTCAATTATGTAAGTCGTATTAACATCCATATATGCATAATTACACACTGCCACATTATTCACCAACTTGCCTTTTAGAGGTATATGTGTTAAAGTGTGTGTGTGTGTGTGTGTGTGTGTGTGTGTGTGTACACACCATCAATTTTTTCTGTTTTCTGTTTGGTGATTGAGTTATGCGACTCCTCGCAGTAGTCTGGATGGAATCACCCTTCAGTGTCTCCAAATTGCAGGTCGGGTTGTTGATCAACCGAGATCTGCAATATTTCAGACATTATGTGTCTTTTCATTTGAAGCTCTGTCAGTCTCACAGGTATTGCTAAAATTCTCTGAGAGCATGGGTTCTGGAAAAGGCTGAGGTTTACCTGTTCTGCTAAGTGTATGCAAAATCAACAAATAAAAGTTAGGTTTGCGTAGCAGCCCCCTTACCAGTTTAGCTAATAGGTGCTAACATACATTTGATGGGAACAAGTAGATTTGAATAGGAGGTACTGCCTCAAAATACTTGAGACAGTAATTTCTCTTGCAACATTATTTAAGTGCAATTTGGTCACATAAGTTGACATGTCAATTAACTCAGTTGGTTGGACAACTGGTTTGTGATGCACAGTAATGCTAACAGCTTGGGTTCAATTCCCATGCCAGCTGAGGTTGAGATCACCATAAGGTTCCAACTTCTTGATCCCTCTCCTTGCCTGAGGCATGGTGACCGTCAGGTTAAACCACCACTAGTCATCTTTCTCGACAGAGAGCAGCCCTATGGTCCTCTGTGACTATGACATCTTTAATTTCTTTTCGTCAATATGGCTGACAGAAGAGAACACATCAGAACTTAATTCTGACAGATGTTTGATTGGATTTGGGGCAGAATATACTGGGATTGGAGGTGGCTGTCCTAGATTGGGGAAGGCAACTTAATTAGATAAGGTGAGTATGTCACAGAGTTCCACCACCCTCCTGGCTCTATTTGAATTAAATTCTGTGCAGGAATGCCCCAGCTCAACCTCCCCATCTTGCTGCCACTTGAACCCCAAAACTGGTCAATTAATAACCATTTAAAGAGATCTTTTCCTGCAAGAGCTGCAATAATCTCAGCTTCAGGGGGGATGGATAAAGTTTTTTAAAATTTAAATTATTTTTCCAATCAACCCATTCAGAAATGTTAATGAATACCTCTGGAGCGGGTGGGACTTCAACCTGGGTCTCTCGGTGGAGAGTAGTGACACTACCACTGCACCACAAAAGTCCCAAATTGAATGAACAGAACAGAACAACACTCGTGGGCACAGCACACACACACAGCAATTGGAACTCTCAAAGAGCAGAGGACGGTTAATATTTGTAAAGCCAAATGGTGACATGGGTTGTGTTGTGGCATGGGAGGATCCTTCAATCTGCACTAATTCGTTCATGATCGAGAGACTGGGTGTAGGGCAGGAGAGCCACCACCCTGACTTTGCAGCTCTCACCCCATCCCAACTCCCTGCCACTCATTACATGTAAAATCCTCTCCCATACCCCCCTCTCAAAATGCACTTCCCTGATTCTTTTGTCCGTGCGATTTTGCTTGTCCTTCCATCAGCTTCATTGTCCCCTTGGTGATGCTGCCAAACAACATGATGGTTCGGTGGTTAGCACTGCTGCCTAACAGCGCCAGAGACCAGGGTTCAAATCCACCCTCAGGTGACTGTGTGGTGTTTGCATGTTCTCTACGTGTATATGTGGGTTTCTGCTGGATGCTCTAGTTTCCTCCCACAGTCTGAAGATATGCAGGTTAGGTGGATTGCCCATGCTAAATTGCCCTGTAGTGTCGAGGGATGTACAGGCTATTGGATTAGCCATTGTAAATGTAGAGTTATGGAGATTTTGAGTGGGTCGTTTGAGTGGGATGCTCTTTGGAGGCTCGGTGCAGGCTTGATGGGCCAAATGGCCTCTATCTGCACTGTAGGGATTCTATCATTCTAAGTGCAAGAGCTGCTGGTCTGTAATAGGCTAGCAGCTCTTGCTGCGTAGGACCTCCACCCTGAGAGACTTGATTTCAGAAAGATGTTTGTCACTGTCCATTAAACTGTCTGATTGGAGGAAGCTACAGCAGGCCCCTGGAAGGTCAATTTGGATGTCTTGTCACCTTTTCAGTAAGCAATTGAGATGACAAAGAAAACACAAAATTCTGTCCTAGACATCACCAGTGTTTTACCAGCTAATAACGTGTAACTTAATCTGATTCTATTTTCTAATGGAATAACTGCACATCCAGGGCTGTTCTATGAAAGTCAGGATCGTACAATTCTCTCTGAAATGGCCTTTGCTGAGGCAAAAAAGCTTCAAACAGCAGCTGACACAGTGAAGAAGTCATTGGATGATGTGATCATTGACAAGTCAAAGGAAACAGAGGTTCCTGAACCTGAACCTGACGGTGATAAAAAAGGTGAAAAGACATATGTATTTCACTTTTTCATGGGTTTACTATATATTCTAAGGTGCCTGTGTGGACACCTCTCCCCTTTAAAAGAAATGGTGTTGCCTGTTATCTCGCACACAACTCCAGAGGATGGAGAATGACACTTTTTCCAAAAAATCGTATTTGTATCTATAAGTTAGTCTGATGTGCAACATTGCCTGGGGAGGTCTAACCTTTTTGATTATTAAGATAGAAATACTAAGATAAGTGAATAAACATATGATCATCTGTGCTTAAATTTAACGCATGCTGCATAACTTTGCTTTGCAGTGCTTTTTACGGTTTTAAGAAGATCGTTTTCTATCCATGCATGCCATGGTTTTAGTTCCCCAAAAGTTAGAATTGACTCCCTCATGCGCAACTCAATTGAAGATCCAGTGATCTAAAACTAAATTAGGTCATATGTTTGGAAATGTCAATTCTGTAGTGCAGTTATGTATTATTGTAAAGCTATTTGGGAAAGTAAGAAGTGAAAGGAAAACACAAAGAAATATAATGGTTCAGCAAGAGGATGTCAGATGTAGTGTAATAAGACAAAAATGAAATTGTTTACTTTTCTCAGAACAATAAAAATCTACACTTTTTTATAAATGTGATAGACTTGTAAAAATATTGACATTAATAAGGATGTAGGTGTTCTTTTACATAAGTCACAGATAGTTTAACATGCAAATGAGGCATGTTAAATGAAAGCAGCTGGTATGTTAGCAAAAGGATTGGAGTTATAAAGTAAGGGAGTCTTGCTGAAATTAAATGGATTCTAATAAGAATACATCTGAGGCATTTTTTTAACAACGGTACAGTTCTTTTGCGGTAAACATTACAGATACAAACTAACATTTTATTTTGCATTTTACTCACTTCCTTCAATTTAAACTTTCCAGCTGAACTAATTTCTCCAGGTCACCGCTGTCTGGCTAGGATGAGGAGAAATTTATTCAGTCAGAGCGTTGTGACCCCTTTGAATTGTGTATTCCTGGGGACTGTGGATGCTTAGTCATTTAGTGTATTTGAGGATTGAGATTGATTGACTTTTGGGCATAAAGGAAATCGGGGATTTGAGGATAGGTAATAAAGTGAAGTTAATGTTGAAATTCTGCCAGAATCATAAGGCCAAATTACTCTTATGTTCTGAGCATAATGAACACATTTAACATTAAAATTGTGTTAACGAACACAATATTGTTTACTTCTTCTGAAGATCAACAAGCTGCAACAGATGAAATTGAACCTGCAGTCCAGGAGACCCCGAGTACAATGTCTGCTGCAACCCCTATTGGAACATCTGCTGATATAGTTCCAAAAGTTGCATCTTCAATCATCAATAAAAAGAGGAGATCTTCTCTTAAGGGTCAGTCAACATTTAAATTCTCTCGCCAATTCCCTTTCCTTTACACAATAATATTTTGCATATTATCTTTGTAGTTTTTTCTGAACTTCCTTTAACACTCTTTCTTACTTCACCCCTCTTTGGTTGAACATCAAAACAGCATAAAATAATCTAGGCATAACAACTCATTGGAAGGAATTTTGCTGAGGGAAAAGGGTATTTGCGGTCACTTCTGGCAGTTTCCTACCCTGCTGAGTCCCAGAACAGCTCATTTGGTCAACTCAGGAAAACAGTGGGTTTCTCACTCCTTTTAAAGGTGTAACATATCCTTGTTTGGTGTAGCTAGTCAGGACTCGAAAAGGAAAACTGGGATTGTCCTCTACTTTGGTTGATTGGTTAGTTAATGACTGGATAATTCAAATTGTGTGCTAAAAAACGTTAAATTAAATGTCATTTTTAATTGTTTCTTAATTCATATTTATAACCCAGAAATTACAAGTAGCTGTATACAAGTGCCATGCCACTAACAATGATCTTGCAAAGGAGCAGTTCAGTATAGAAACATGGAATCCCTACAGGCCAGGTAGAGGCCATTTGGCCCATTGAGTCTGCACTGACTGTGGGAAAGCAGATTCAAATCCCCTCCCCACCCTAACCCCTCATTTATCATGGCTTACTCACCTAGCCTGCTCATCCATGGGCATAACGGGGCCATATTAGCATATCCATTCCACCTAACCTGCACATCTTTGGACTGCAGGAAGAAACCAGAGCAGCCAGTGGAATCCCACGCAAACTCCACACAGTCACCCAAGACTGGAATTAAACTGAGTACCTGGCACTTTAAGGCAGCAGTGCTAACGACTGTTGTAATGTGAATCCCAATTGGAGTTGTTCCTTATGTTCCTAGTCCATTCTCGAGCACTTATGGGTTGCCCAGATTTTCTGCGGAAAGTTGAAACCTGGGACTGCGCAATTCACGTCCATTTCTATGTTATAGTTAAGTAGAAGGTGCATCAGCTAGAGTTGGGAACATCACCAGTTTATAGAATACGAGGTATGCTCCAGTAGAAAATCCACGACTTTGGACAAATGTGTGGGTTTTATTTGAGGTCCCTGTCAATGGGAGTGCTTTCTTACTTGTCAGTCAGTGGTGTTCTTTGAGAAACATGTTTTTCCTACGGCATCAGGAGGGAGACAGCAACCTTCACAAGCCCTGCACAGGGTTGGTACAAGGGTATTTGCTGATGTGGGTGAATCTTCTACCTGACAACCGCCTCATATTCTGCCAAATATTGACAAAAATGATGACAGGAAAGCCACAGCAAGATTCTAAAGGGAATCAGGCCCCATTGACCTATCATGCACAATGGGCAGCCATTAAAGTTTTAAACAGTACAACTGTTATCTTTAGTATGTGCAAAATATGGAAATTATACAGAATGTTTAAGTATAATTGCAATGATACTATTGTACATATTGTAAAGTCAAATGTTCCCAGAATGTCACACATGGAAACAAACTGCTTGCACCAAAGAACAACATCCCACTTTTATTAGATCCCTGCTCCAAAAGGCCATATAGTCCAGCATCTCAAGTAATATTTATAAATTATTTTGGAACCATATCTAGCACTCAACCTTTTGCAATACATTATATAAGCATATAACTGAAATGTTTAATTATTGCACATATACAAAATAAACATGAATTTTACTGAGGCTGTATACATGTACATATCCACGTGTGAGAAAGCAGGCATTGTGATGATTACATTACACAGCTGTATGTGAATTTTTTGTGAAGTAGGTGGGAAAACACATTTTTTGGTTAGCAAGCACATGTTACAGTACATGGGTAAACATGAGTTCTCATTTTTTTCTCCCACCTGGCAGTTATGTTTTATAAAATCTACCAGGTAGCTTTTTAGATCTCTCCTTACTAAAATTAGTTGTAAAATTTGTAAGGAGTGCTTTGCCATAGCACAGACAATTTTCGTATTGGAGAAATACCAACTTGCAACATTTAGGGCGCGATTTTCCCATTTTTTTCTCAAGGTGCGGGATGATTGTACAAGGTGGCAATTGTCACACTACCCCCACTGCTGGGATAATTCACCGATTCACCTGCCAATCAGCTTGGTAAGAGCTGACAGGCAAAAGTGGGTGAATTTCTTGGTGATTCACAGACTTGTCATGTGTGTCCTGAGATGCCAGAAGTTGCCAGTCAATCAGAGGCTAGTAGCTTCCTGGTTCTAAAGACTACTAGTCAAGGCCTACTCCTCAAGGAATTCTGCGGTGAGCAGGGAAGAAATTTTTATATTCTTCTCACATAGTGTGGATCACGGGAGAGGGTTAGAGGCAGGGTGGAAGTGTGGGTTTTGGAGGCCACCAACTTTGTACACATACCAATCCTCTAATTTGTACCTCCAATTACCCCTTCCCCGATTGGTGCAATTGGAGACCCCTCCCCAAACCAAACAGGCAGTTTGCCCTGGTTTCCCAGTTGGGAAATTAGACACTTTTCTTGCTCACCGAGAAGGAATGTAATCTGGGAAGTGGCGAGTTGAGTCCCTTAAACAGCCATTTATTCGCCAATTAAAAATCTTATTTAGTGGCAGGTTGAGAAGTTCACCCATGGACCTCCTTGGGCAGAAACTAAATTGTGAGATGGCAAGAAAGGGTAGTGTTTCTCAAGGGCTAACTCGCTCAATTATTGTCCCTTCTCACCACGTCTCATGCCACCTCCAGGTAAAGGAAAATCACACCCTTGGGAAAAGTCTGCACCTGAAGTAAGGCTAGTGTTGTGTGGAATTTAAATGATTTAAATAAGTGATAGTCTGCTGCTTCTCCACATTGGGAACTCAAACTCCCTGCTCTATGAACACACCCCAAGAATGAATGGCTGTACGTTAAGGCTCTATTATTTAAACGTCCAGTCACGGTTATTTGTAGAAATCTGAGAACATCTGCAGCCAACGTTAGAAACAAATCATGTGACCCGATCAGAGTCTCTGCTCGTGCTTAATGCACTCGGGCTAATTCTTGCTACTCAAGCCAGATTCCTCAGTGAAATTCATATCCTGCCAATCCTGTTGCAACCAACAAAAATCCTATCAAATCCTCTGATTTTATTTTTAGGTTTAAGGAGGTTTAAATTTGATTGGGTGATGTTGCACTCGATGTGATATTACCACCCGTCAATGCCTCATGATGATGGAAGCTGGTGTTCCTTTCCTCACTGCTGCCGCTGATGACCTATTATGGCTCAGATTTGTTCACAACTCCAGGTGTCTTTTCTGATTTTTGTCACCCCTCCCAATTCCTACCACCATAGGAGCCTGCATACTTTTCCTGGTCCTTCAGTTAAAACAAATTTTTCAACTTGTAAACTTGAGAACTAATGCTATCAAGAAGATATTGGCAGTCATGCCCCTGACACTTGGTGCAAGGAGTAAAAATCCACTACAAAGCAGTTTTTGTGCTGTGCCTACCTAACTCCGAACACAGCCTTGCTGATTTGAGTTTACATTCTCCTCGGCATCCTGAATCAATGTAGTATTGCTGGAAATCTGATATAACGTATCACTACCCATTTTATTTTTGAGTAAATCTCAAAGTTTATGTTATTACGAATGAATTTATCAGTAGTCATGTCTGAAGAGCCTGATTGAACTTTTGGATAAGGAGGCTGAAGAGTCAGTCTTACTTCTGTGGTGGGCAGTCAGTCTTACTTCTGTGGTGGGCAAATTATTGGAGAGGATTCTGAGAGATAGTATTTATGATTATTTGGAAAAGTTTGATTAGAAATAGTCAGCATGGCTTTGTGAGGGGCAGGTCATGCCTCACAAGCCTTATTGAATTCTTTGAGGATGTGACAAAATACATTGATGAAGGTAGAGCAGTGGATGTGGTGTATATGGATTTTAGCAAGGCATTCGATAAGGTTCCACATGGTAGGCTGATTCAGAAAGTAAGGAGGCATGGGATTCGGGGAAATTTGGCTGTCTGGATACAAAACTGGCTGTCCAATAGAAGACAGAGGGTGGTAGTAGATGGAAAGTATTCAGCTTGGAGCTCGGTGACCAGTGGTGTTCCGCAGGTGTCTGTTCTGGGATCTCTGCTCTTTGTGATCTTTATAAATGACTTGGATGAGGAAGTGGAAGGGTCGGTTAGTTGCAACAGGACATTGACAGGATGCAGAGCTGGGCAAAGAAGTGGCAGATGGAATTCAACCCAGAGAAGTGTGAAGTGATTCATTTTGGAAGGTCGAATTTGAATGCAAAATACAGGGTTAATGGCAGGATTCTCGGCAGTGTGGAGGAACAGAGGGATCTTGGGGTCCACGTCCATAGATCCCTCAAAGTTGCTACCCAAGTTGATAGGGTTGTGTTGGCTTTCATTGGCAGGGGAATTGAGTTTAAGAGCCGTGACGTTATGCTGCAGCTCTATAAAACTCTGGTTAGACCACACTTGGAACCTTGTGTTCAGTTCTGGTCACCTCACTATTGGAACGATGTGGAAGCTTTAGAGAGGGTGCAGAGGAGATTTACCAGGATGCTGCCTGGACTGGAGGGCAGGTCTTATGAGGAAAGGTTGAGGGAGCTAGAGCTTTTCTAATTGGAGCGAAGAAGGATGAGAGGTGACTTCATAGAGGAGTACAAGATGATGAGAGGCATAGATAGTGGATAGTCAGAGACTTTTTCCCAGGGTGGAAATGACTATTACGAAGGGGCATAATTTTAAGGTGATTGGAGGAAGGTATAGGGGAGATGTCAGAGGTAGGTTCTTCACACAAAGAGTGTGGAATGTGCTGCTGGCAGTGGTAGTGGAGTCAGATACTTTAGAGACTTTTAAGCGACTCTTGGATGGGCACATGGATGATAGTAAAATGTAGGGTATGCAGGGTAGATTGATCTTAGTAGCATAATAGGTCGGCAGAACATCGTGAGCCGAAGGGCCTGTGCTGTGCTGTACTGTTCTACGTTCTATATTCTATGTTTAAGAGATGGACTGGGGAGTGTCTATGATGTTAGGTATATGGACTTGCTCTTGAAATACTATTAGCTAAGTTTTATGCCCAAGGAATTGAAAACGAAGTAGTGATCTGATTAGGAATTTGGCTGAACAACAGGAGACAGTAAGTATAGATAAGGGACGAGCACTCAATTTGGCAGGATTTACCCACTGGTAACCCTATTCCTACATTCCTACTCATTTGCAAAAATCATGCACATTTGTAACCAACATGAGTGCAGTGAGATAAATTGTGGGGAGAAAAAAGATTCCAGGAGAACTGTAGATATCCCACATTCCATTCCAACAGAAAAAGGTAAAAAACAAATGAACAGGTTTATCTGAATTCCCTGAATCTAATTGTGTGGTTGAGTCAATCTTTGCAAATGCACAAACTGATGTTTTATGAAGCTTGACTAACGTTAAACTTAACTGACGTTGCTTCAGGTTTATATCAAAAAGTTAGGCCAAGCAGTAGACTGACAGACTATTGTAAATGTTCTGTCTTTTGTAGAACTGCCAAAGCTCATTGATGTTAATGAGAGTGCAACAGTAGTCCAGCCGGATGAGCCAGTGCCTGCTCCTCCTGTTCCTGAACCCCCACCAAGAGAGACCATTCCTGTATGTTCAAGAAGTATCTACATGGAAGCAGCAAAGTTTCTTTTGGATGTTTATGCTTTGCAGGTTAGCTACAAGGCCTTACTTTAAAAAAAAGACTTGTATTTATGTAGCACCTAATCACATTTTGGAAGCAGGAGCAGGTTAATTTCCTAATGGGAATAATCAAAACAGTAAACATTTGAGAGCAACCTCTGTGCAACACTTCATAACTGCTAATTTTTTTTTACAGTACTTATTTTTTCATATCCATACGCATTACAGATGTTACCACTTTGCTATTAAACTTTCAAAATCGGTAATTCCAGAACATGGATTGGTCCCAGTGTATGACAACACTATCAACATTAAGACCCAGAGAAACTCTTTTCAAGTATCTGCATTCTAATAAGCAGAAACAAAACCTATATAATTATGTAAAGTTGAAGTAACCACATAGTTGGTGTTAGGAACAATGAATAATTTAAATTTAATTTATGTTTAGTATTTTGTTTTCAGAAGGATATGGTATGGTTAGTTTGATTTTTGCAGTTATTTTTGTGGGCTTGATGCCAGGAGATCTGGAGGGCTGTTTCTTTTTATTGAGGTTTTACAGTCTTTGAAGTGAAGAGATAGTGTCTGGTGTTTAGTGTATCTTCTAAAAAAGAATGTTAGAAAAAGGCTATTCTGTTAGCTGACCACAGGGGTACAGGGACATAGACTGAAAAAGCTAGAAGTTGATCAGTGTGTGGAAATGTCAGAAAGTGGAGGCAGGAGTTTTAAACTCTTCAGTAAGAAATTTTTCAAGAATACTGAAAACTGAGTTAAGAGAGCTTGTATGTTTGCTCTGAAATTAAAGTGATAGTGCATTTAGCTTGCAGTTTGTTTCTTGTGTTTCGGGGAGAGATCAGATGAAGAAAAAGCATCCAGAGAATGCGCCAGAAGGAAACTAGTTCCAGTTCTGCAAAGCTGAGCAAGAGGCCTTGGTATGGAGATAGTGGTGAACCTTTGGGGTTTATTATTTAAGAGGATTTTGCCAGGTAAAATGAACAGTTAGAGTTTAAATCCTTTAATTGTACTCATACTAAAATCTTTCCTTTTTTAAAAATCTAGTGTAATATAGTTTAAGTTTTTCCTTTGCCAATATATATTTTATTCTTTATGTTAAAAGCACACTCAAGACTTGTGTGAATTTGTTCAGTAGCTGACCTCCATGATTTTAAAAAAAAGAGAATTAGGGTCTGTCAAGCCAGGTTTCACTCTGGCATCTGACTTGTCGAGTACTAACATCAGCCTGCATCATAACATTGTTTAAATAAGAATGAGGCAGTTGTAAGAAACGGTAGATTGCCAAACCAGATAATGATGTTGAACTCCTGGAAACATTCAGTCCAGTGTCTTCATTCTTTATTCATCCACTTGCCTGTGTCATTTTTTAATTATTGCATTTTTGATTTCTTTCTCAGTTTTTATTTATTTTTGAACCAACTTTTTCTCAGAGTCTGTCTTTCATGGCAAGTAATAAACTATTGTTTGGACTTTTCCAAAGTCTCAGAGAAGTGCAAGCCTAGGACCTCTGACTTCGCACAACATCTCAACTAATTGACAACATTTCAATTTTACTTGTTCTTTGTTTCTGTTTCTCTTTATAACAAGCTAAACTCTGGTAGGTCACCATGTGTTTGGCCATTGTTAACTCAATAAAACTTATTTTTTTCTATTTTTGCTATTAGTTTGCAACAAGAGCCTTGGCACATGAGATGCTTTTAGGTGAAATTGGACTAAGTTGTGAGTATCATGTGATTCTGGCCCGGCTTTACATACTTCAGGAGGAGTTTGCAAAAGCAGAGGAGTCTCTTGCGGAAGCAAGTCGAATTGACCATAAAGTAAGTGAAAAGACAGACTAGATGAGTCTGTAAATTCAGGAGAATGTAGACCTGGCTCGATTGTTGGATAAATTATTCTGAGGTCTGGAATTTCCTAGATCCCACTGAATCCAAACTACTCTGAAATTTAGGATAACAAGGTGTAGAGCTGGATGAACACAGCAGGCCAAGCAGCATCAGAGGAGCAGGAAGGCTGACGTTTCGGGTCTGGACCCTTCTTCACAAAACTTTCTGAAGAAGGGTCCAGACTTAAAACGTCAGCTTTCCTGTTCCTCCAATGCTGCTTGGCCTGCTGTGTTCATCCAGCTCTACACCTTGTTATCCCAGTTTCTCCAGCATCGGCAGTTCCTACTATCTCTACTCTGAAATTTATGCAGATTTCCCCACCAACCTTACTGAATGGAGCTTACACTCGAGTTTCCTGCAGAAATTGTGAATTCTGTCATGGCAACTGTCAGTCAGAGCATCCTGTCTCTTCTGTTCCTTTTTCTCCTATGTGATGAACATTGATGTGCCAGCTGAGAGACTACTTCAGCTGCATCGTTGTCTGAATGCAGGGAAAGGGAGGGTCCAAAAAAAACAGTGTGCAATGAGAATGGCCGTTTTTTAAGTGTATTTGTCAGATTCCACAAGAAATTGTTTTGTAAGTTGCAAGGAAAATTGTTAAACTCGTAGAAAACTTGAAGAAGGTGGTTTGTTTATGGAATGAACTGCCAGAGGAAGTGGTAGATGCAGATACCGTTACTAGATTTAAAAGGTATTTCAACAGGCACACGAATAGGAAAGGTTTATCTTCTATGTTTAGAGAGATATGAGCCAAATACAGGCAAACTGTACTAGTTCAGTTTGAGAAACTTGGTCAGCATGGACGAAATGGACTGAAGAGTCTGTTTCTGTGCTGTATGACTATGACTCTATTAGCAATGCTTATATTGGGTGGGTTTGGAACAGCATGTGCAGAATCTTCTCAGAATAAGTACAGGAAACCATCGTGAGCTAGTGATTGCTAGTGATTTAGCACACGTAGGAAGCTGTGTAACTGAGTGGGAGATCTGAATAATGGATACCACATCAAACTGGATACCACATCAAACTCTGAATGCTGCATCTATGCTTCCAATTTGCTTGCTTTATTTCTAATGCTACTCACATAGGTATAAATAACTATAAATTGACCAATAAACCTTCTCCTCCCCTTAAGCGTTGATGATCTTTTTAATCAACATTTCCATTTGTGGCAAATTTTTAAATCGAACTTCAAGGTGGGAAGGGTTTTTCACTCAGTTTTCAGGAAACCGCCAGTGTGCTGCTTTTTTACTGTTTTTTTTCTGCATCTGGATTCCTGTATTTTAGAACTGGATCAGTTAAAGTGTTGATGAGTACCACCTTGCACCATTATGGCTGATTTAGGTCTATAGCACACAGTATAGTCAATAGTTGATCTCCTCAACAACACCCCATTGGAGCCAAAACATGGTTCAGGAATAGCATTGGTCTTCCAGTCATGGACTGTGGTTCCAGTGCTCAATTTAACATTCTGACCACACATATCGACCCAAATTGTGAGCACAATCATGATAGCCGTAACTTCAGGCCTCACTGTGGTAACCTGGCAACTGTGGCTTATTTATGCAAATGTTGGTAGTAAAATACTTAAAATGAAATGCTCTTTATCTGAATGCAGAAAACATTCACAATGAGATCAATGAACTACTGGCACAAATAGAGAGAAATGACTTGGATCTAGTTTCTAATAGAGAGAGAGATCCAATTAATTACAGGATGATGACGTTGGGAAATAAATATTTCAGGGTATGCCACATTTTGAAAAGTCAGACAGAATGGAGAAGGAGGAATTGCCTGACAGTAATGACTGATTATAGTGAGAAAATCTTATCTCAGAGGATCAGAAAACAGAATCATGGATGGAGATTAAGAAAAACAACAGCCATAAACACTGGTGGGAGGAGTTTATATGTCTACTGTTCTAGTTCTACTGCTATGGCATTAAAGATGATATGAATGTATCTTGTAACAAAGAACATGTGATAATCAAGGGGATTTTATTCTTCCCATAGACTAGAAGATGACTTTGTTGAAAATTTTGTGACACAAATAAGTAGCGATCTGTGTGTCACAACTCTCTCCTTTCTCATTGTTAGTTTCAACTTGATGCCAAAGACTGGCCTGAAGTTCCTTTTATCTCTCTCCCTCCTTTGTTGTATAGTGGAATTACATCAAAATAAAAACCGAAAGAACAGCGGATGCTGTTGTGTAGCGGAATTATATCTTCTGATTTAAAATCTGCCAGGACCATTCTAGAATCTCAGGAAGTTTGGAAAAACCCAGCTTCATCCCATCCACTGTATCTGTGTACTTCTTTTAGATCCTTTGAATGCAGGTCATCAGGTCTTGGGGATCTGTCAGATTTTAATCCCTTTAATTTCTCTCATTCTTTTTCTCAGCTGCTATTATTTACCATAAATTCCTCACTGTCTTTGGTCCCTTGTATTGTTCTTAAAATGATCCCAGACATCCAACAAAAGTAATGCTAGCAAACAGGTTAAGCAGCCAATCACTAAAGTATTCTCACAGACAGTAAACAAGGATGTTAAAAGCATCAGTTATCTTTCAAGAACAAGAACAGAAGTTGTTGGAAGAGCTCAGCATGTCTGGCAGCATCTGTGAAGAAAAAAATCAGAGTTAATGTTTCAGGTCCAGTGACCCTTCATTAGAGCTGATGGTAGCTGGGAAAACGTCGGTTTATATGTAGAAAACAGGGAGAGGGGTGGGGTAGGGAGTGAACGATAGGATAGAGCCCAAAGAGTTAGAAGAACAGTTGGACATACAAGGGAGTTGATAACAATCTGGCCAGGAGGGTGAATAGTTGACCTTTTTTTAAAATGATCATTCTATGATGAGTGAAATAAAGATTGGTCTATAGGTATTAGTATTAAACACAAATATTTTGAAATATCATAATGAAAAATATTGGCATTCCATAAATATAAAATCAGCTTTTAGGACCATTCACATTGTTCAACCGTACCTATGAAAATAGTACACTGATGAAAATCCAGTTATACCTCATTCAACAAGGTCTCACTTTTTCAAGGATTTTAAAAACCAGACTAATAGTTGCAGAAGGACAAGTTTTTGTCAGTTCTGTGAGTTCTTCTCGATTGTATTCTTGGGGGCCTTCAGCACTTTTTGAATTTAAATTGCGTAAGTATTGACTCCAGAAGTTGCCGTCAGTTTCAGAGAAGTAATGGCGGGGTACACTGAATTTTTCATCATTGTTGCTGTTGTAAACTCCAGGCCTATCATTGTTGTAAATAACATGCAAGCCTGTATTTCCTGTTCTTTAATTGTTTATTTTGTGGAAACCAATCAATTTCTCCAGTAATAATCATTTATTCTCTTGCATTGGAAGCTAAAGAATAACTTTTCTGACAACTTTGCTACTACAGAATCCAGACCTGTGGGCTTTGCTGGGACATCTAAGCTATATGAAAGAAAACTATAGCAAGGCTAAGGAATATTATGAACGTGCTTTGTGTTATGTGAATGATGCACTTGACATGCATTCCATCTGCCTGAGACTAGGCTCCATCTACTTGCAGGAAGAAAAGTTTCAATCAGTAAGGACAATTTATTTCAATTTCACAGGAAATGTATGTGAATTTGAATTCAATAAAATGCTCTCACTGGAGGGGGGTATTGAGATAACATTTTTAGTATTTATTCGGTTATGGACTTGCTCACTGAGCTGGTAAGCTTGTTCACAGATGTTTCATCACGTTGTCAGGTATGTGTATCCCTGGTCTGTCTAGTAGCAAGGCTAGTGTGGCCAAAAACATTATATAGGGAAACCAGAAGAACACTAGCCATCAGGATTTAAAAACACCAACTAGCTACCAAGAAAGATGACCAACTCTCACTCATTTCAATACACATGGACAAAGAGGGACACCAGTTCAACTGGGACAACGTAGCCATCCTAGGACAAGCCAAGCAAAGACGTGCGCAAGAATTTCTGGAGGCCTGGCACTCAAACCAGAATTCCACTAACAAACATGTAGTGCTGGACCCCATATACCAACAACTAAGAAACAAATCCGGAAGTGATGCCGCCCACCCCAGCAAACCAAGGCACTTAAATAGCAAGCAGGACAGAACACCGACACTTCACCGGAGCCTCACACATGATGTTACCTAGCGTAGTGACGAAACGTCTGCAAACAAACTTACTAGCTTGGTGAACAAGTCAACAACCGCATCAACAACCCGAGCTACAAATCTTCTCAAAAACCTTATTATTTATTTTACATATTACTGTCATTTGAGAATAGGGAAAATGTAATTGTATTTTAGCTATTCCCTCTCAAGCTTTCATCTGGTTTGTATATAAATAGCAGATCTAAACTAATATTGATCTTATTTATGACATTGCATAAGGATTACATTTGTAAGGATATTGTGGTAATTTATAAGAATCTAATCTGCTGTAAAATATTTGATGGTAACACAACAAGGTATCTATCACATGTTGGTATGAGTGGGATAGATTGCAACAGTACAATTCAAAATGCATTGGAAATACATGCATTAAATAATGTCTTTGGGAAATTCCATTTGTAGAATGTCCACAGATACAAGTAATGTCTGCCTGTCACAGAATAATTCATAAATTGAGTTCCAATATAGTTTCCAGGCTTTTTGCAACAATTTAAGTTACATAGGCATAATTTTCAGGATTTTTCATATCACGCAAGAACAACAGTAAGAATCTATGTGAAAGTAAATCATTTCTTCCAATTCTTAATTTCAAACTCAGATGTGTTCTGTAGCTAAAAGCAATGTACTTGCTGTTCACCTCCAACCCACTAATTGGTGGCCCACAAAAGAATTTTGACTAATGTTTAAGAAAATATAGTGATCAGAAAACTTTTTATTAACTGGCATCTATGGGACCAGGAGTGTACTGGTTAATTATATATTCTGGTTGATCAAGAGGTCCACATAATCAATGTAAAAGCACAAGCTAATTAATAGAGATATAATGCAGGGGGTATACATATTACTGTTATACTTTATTTACAGCATAAATCAATTTAATAATGCAACTTTGCCTTAAATAAAATTAACTGGCCGAGAGCCTTCTCACTCACACCCTCAACTGACTACTTAGACATTGCAGCGATCATGATAATACATTAAACTCCGGTATTTGCGGTATAAAGTTTTTGCCAGTTTATCGAGAGTGCTGGTTCAGGTGCCAGTTAAAATAAAGTTTACTGTATTTGCATTCATTCAGCATCTGGATAATACATATACTGTAACCTCGATGTAGTGATTGTAACGCGGTCGGCCAGGTAGACCTCATAGAATGTGAGACAAAAAGGCTGAAGATGCTGGAATCCAATGTAGACAAACAGGGGGCCAGGCAGCATCTGGAGGAAAGGAGAAGTCAACATTTTGGGTGTTACCCTTCTTCAGGACTGGATGTGGAGGTAGGGGGAGCTGAAGATAAAGGTGAGGGGAGTGGGGTAGTGGAATTATGGTGATAGGTGGACACCGGTAGTAGGTATGACCTGGTTGGACGATGGGAGTCATGAATCCAGTTGGTAGCTGGAAGGCAGGGTCAGTAGGTGGAATGGAAGGGAGGAGGCAGGGCTGGAAAAGGGATCCAGGGGAATGGGTGGGAAAGTTATTTGAAATTAGAGAACTCAGTGTTGAGTCCTGTGGGCTGTAGGGTACCCAGGTGGAAGATAAAGTGTTGTTCGTCAAATTTATGTTCTGAATTGCTGTGATACTGGAGGAATCCAAGGACAGACATGTTGGAGGGGGAGTCGGGGTTGGGGGGGAGTTGGTGGGGAGTCGAAATGGGCAGTGACCAGGAGGTCAGGCTGGCCGTTATGGGCCAGACGAAGATGCTTGGCGAAATGGTCACCTAGTCTACGTTTGGTTTCACCGATGTAGAGAAATCCATATCCAGAGCACGAGATGCAGTAGATTGCATTGGAGGAAATGCAGGTGAAGCTCTGTCTCACCTGCAAGTACTGTTTAGGGCCCTGGATGGAGGTGAAGGAGGTGGTGTGTGGGCAGTTGTTGCATCTTTTATGGTTACAGGGGTAGGTCCGGGGGGGTGGGGGAGATTGGAGTGGTTGGTGGGGAGTGTGGTGCGAACTAAGGAGTGGCAAAGGGAATGGTCCTTGTGGAAGGCAGAGAGGTTTGGGGAGTGGAAGATGTTCTGGGTGGTGGCGTCTAATTAGAGTTGGCGGAAGTGTTTGATGATGATACGTTGGATGCAGAGGAAAGTGAGGACAAGGGGGACCCTATCTTTATAATGTTTGGGGGTGGAATGGTTTAGAGCTGAGGAGCAGGGAATGGAGGGCTGTCTGGATGGCAAAACGGGGAAAAGAATGTTGTTTAATAAAGGAGGACATCTGGGATGCTTGGGAGTGGAATGTCTCCTCGTCAGAGCAGATGTGATGGAGACGGTGGAATTAGGAAAATAGGATGGAGTTTTTGCAGGATGGGAGGAGGTGTAGTCTAGGTGGCTATGGAAATCTGTGGTTTTATAGTAAATGTTGGTCCATAAACTGTCACCAGAAATGGAAACGGAGAGCTCAAGAAATGGGAGGGAGGTGTCTGAGATAGACCAAGTGAATTAAAGGGCAGGGTGGAAATTGTTAGCAAAGTCAATGAACTGCTCCGGTTCAGCCTGAGTGCAGGACACAGCACCGATGTAGTCATCGATGTGATGGTGGAAGAATTGGGTAACTGTACTGGGGTACATACTGAAGAGGGACTGTTCGACATAACCGACAAACGGACAGGCGTAGCTGGGGCCCATGTGAGTGCCCACGGCAATCCCCAGATTTGGAGAAAGTGTGAAGAATTGAAGGAAGAGTTATTGAGGATGAGGACTAATTCGGCGAGGCGGAGAAGAGTATTGGTGGGGTGAGGGGGGTGGGGAGTACTGGATGGATCTGTTGGAGAGGACCCTACAGCCCAGCGGACTCAACATTGAGTTTTCTGATCTCAAATAACCTTCCCACCCATTCCCTGGCTTACTTTTCCACCCCTGCCTCCTCCCTTCCATTCCACCTACTGACCCTCCCTTCCAGCTACCAACTGGTTCATCCCTCCCATCGACCAACCAGGTTGTACCGACTACCGGTGTCCACCTATCACCACTATTCTGCTAAACCCCTCCCCCTCCTTTAGCTGCAGCTCCCCCTACCCCCACATCCAGTCCTGAAGAAGTGTAATACCCAAAACATTGACCTCTCCTTTCCTCCAGATACTGCCTGACTTGCTGTGTTCTTCCAGCCTCCTGTTTGTCTACATTGGATTCCAGCATCTTCAGCCTTTTTGTCTCACATTCAGTGTCTGCCTTCTCCTGCCAATGCGTTGAATTGGTTTTTGTCTATTTGCCTCTTAGTGCCCACACTTATGTACTGATTTTAGCATTAAGATTAATTGCTATGATCGCATCACTCTCAGCTTTCCTTCTCTTGATCCAACCTTTCACTCATAAACGTCAAACCAGTATTTAAGTTAAATTTTTTTAAGAATTGCTCTTTTTCTCATAGGACGTTTAACCTTCGATTCAACACATGTAACCTCTAACCTTTGATTCAACACTTGTAACCTCTAACCTTACAAGCCTCATTATATGTTATACAATCAGTGCTTGATGCAAAAAGATGTTATTTGCACCAGATGTTGGATCTGGGCATAAAGCTACAGAGGAGTTTTATTTATTTTTATGGTTTATTTATATTTATAAACCATCTGATTGTTGTTTCTAATGTATTTTTTTTCAGTATAAATCAGCCAAATCTACCTACCTTTTCACCTCCAAGAGAGCACCATCCTGTTTGTCCTGGCTAGGGGTTGGCAAAGCCTGTTACCGAGTGAGTAAACAAAAAATACTGGAAATATTCAGAAGGTCAGCAGCGTTTGTGGAGATGGGAACAGAGATAATGGGTAGGAGTTTGAGATCCTGATAGAGGCAGACCACATTAGAAAAATACCCCTGCGGCATAATGAAACCAAAAATGGCATTGAGCCAAAGAAGCAAATGCAGTCAGGCTAAGCAAATACTTGGTAAACGAGGCAGTTCTCAAGAGGGAGGTACTTTGGAGGAGGAGAGGAGGATGGAGGAGATTATGGAGAAACTTTCAGTGCGTGGAAGCGAAATGTCAATTTCTTAGACCTTGTGTGCAAATGAATTTCTGCATTCATAGACAAAGCAACAGTAATTAAAGAAAATATTGGAGTAAATTAAGTTAAATTGTGTTTTAATTTCCCCACAGAACAATGCATTGTGCATGAGAGACATAAATATTGGAAGGAAACTTCATAAAAATACTGTAAATAGAAAATTTTTTTTTACGTATTTGTGAAAGTACTGAGCATCTCCAAAGACAAATTACAGGGTATACCAATTATAGTCAAGGGAAATTACCTTTGATAAGTGCTTTTGCAATACCTTTCTCAGAACCAAGGGATTAACTCCATTTTTTTTTATTCTGTATCTACTCAGCTGAATGAACTGACAAATGCTGAAGATGCACTCTGTGAAGCAAATATTCTATGTAACATGAATGCAGAGGTCTGGGGCTATCTCACACTGGTGTGCTTAAAGGTATTTTTTATGAATGAAAGTAATTTCCAATTGTAACACATATGATTAGCTATGTTAGCTGGCTCATCAAATGCTAAATCACACATTTTCGTGGGGGAAGGAGATTTGAAAATTTAATGGGTGAAAACACTAGCCAATAAACTCTGGAGTTGGATTTTTCTAATCAACCTGTACAAAGACGTTGTTACACGACTCTGGAGCAGGTGGGACTTGAACCCTGGTCTCTTTTTACGAAAGTAGGCACACTGCCACTGCACCACAAGAGCCCAGATCCAACCTTTGGTCTCCGTTGTGTGAACTGATCTTACCTGAGGAAGAAGATTGTAATTAAGCATCAGCCTGGGTGATCAGGTGGATCCGAGCCCTACTTCCAATTTGAGCACCTTTTTTATGTTGCCACCTGAGTGCAGTACTGAGATTGTGCTGCATTGTCATGGTGCCTTCTTTCAGTGCAATGTTGAACTAGGATGCTCCTGGTTTGACTTGATGTAAATTATCTTATGTACCATTCAAATAGGCAGGATTTCTCCTATGGTCTTGGCCAGCACTTTTCTCTTAAGCTATGCTAAAACAGAACAACTGAGAATTGTACTGATTTGCTACTTTTGGAAATCAATCGTGCAAATCGATTACCATATTTACCCACAGTGGACTTTCCTAAGGACTTGAAAATTGCTATGAAAATAGTTGTGCTTTGGCCTACCCACCTCAGAGCTAGGGAAGGAAAATGCTTCCATTCTTCAAATTGTGCTTGTGGTCCCTTGTCAGAAAGGACACTTGCAAACATTGGATGAAGATAGAATTGTGTTGGCTTGCACTTCCTATGTTATAATGGCATGCCAACTAAAAGTGCACCAGGTAAACATGATCACTTATCATTGCACACCTGGTTCATCCAACATTCCTGAAACAGTATCTGACTGTATATTGGCACCTTTGAGAGAATAAGGATGAAATAGCTTTTTTTTTTAAAAGTTCTCATATCTGACTTGATGTTTACACAACAAATAAAGTCTGAAACATTTATGAAAAAGTAAAATAATCATTAATTTGATAACTTTCTCTATTTTCTAATGTTCAAGAAATATGCTTTTTAAAGTAAAATATATTTGAGTATAGGGAATAAC